ATTATTTTTCTCTAAAATCCAAGCACAAGAGCTCTGTATCTGACGGAAGACAGTAAAGTGATATATATATTGCCACCTATATGAGTGACTAAAGACGGGGTTTAGATTGGTAATAAGATTTATTGAACACTTACAGATCCTAAGTACAAGTAACCATAGCGCTATCGCTAATTCACAAACTCTGCACTTCACTACAGCAAGTACTAAATCTTCTCAGTCTACTGTCTCTTCACCAGTTGTTGTCTGGTAACGGTTTCCAATGCCGTAGGTACCTCGATTTCTGTGTTTGTAACTTCACGTCCTCGCTGGCTGTCGCCTATCTCACTACAGGTCCCGAGCTGAAGTAACTGGCTTCCAACTGCCGAACTCCCAGGCTGGTGACCACATTACACCAACCTCCTACTCTTCCCACTGCCTGCTCAAGACTCTCTCTCAATCAAAGTCAAAGTAAAAGTTACTTTACGACTGATGGTTTACCGCCAATCAGTTCGTCTTGGCGCCAAACCCCTAAGAGGATAAGAACCAGATTTTTTTTCTTTGCAACTGAACCTTGCGGTCATAGTCCTTATGTAACATCCTCTCTGACAACAGGATGGGTTTCTCTTGTGAATATGCTTGGCCTTTCATCAAGTGTGCTTATCGCACATACAGTATTTTACTGAAAATCCTCTCTTTTGCACTATATACAAGTCCTGTCAGTCCAGGCTTTGCAAAACCGGTAAGTGACGTTCTTCTCTTAAGAGTAATATTAAGTTCAGCGTTCATACAATACAATTGAAGCCCACGGCTTACGTCCAACATTTTGGGAACTTTAATTTCAGCAGGGATGTGTTTTTACAAACAGCACCCGATGTTGCATTCATGGATGGGCTTCAGGATATTGAAGCAACTGGATCATGAGAAGTTTTGTAGTAGGACAGGTGAAATCCGAAGACCGCCGTTACACTTCTGAAGCAGGTGTAAATGTAACCTCATTGTTGTACTCTCGCGCGTCCTGCCCGTAACTGAAAGTTTCTATACTGATTTACTTAACGACGCCATCAATTGTTCAGTTCAGATTATAAGATTTCGAATTGTAGCGTTAATGAATTGGAAAGGATATGGAAGGAAATATAGGAGAGACTGTACATGTAGTCAAATCTCCACCCATTACTGACCTCTAAAGATATGAGCTGTCTGCTTCACAACCGGGCAAACTGCCCTCCCCCCCCCTGTAGGCGGTGATTCTGGACGTAATCTTGGCCATATACAGTTTGACCAATCTAGATGGAAAAATTCTAGACTATGAACAATTCCTTTTTTTTTTAGTATTTTTTGTTGTGCATTGTTCTTTTCCGTGGGTTATTTAACGACGCTTTTTAAGTATCGAGACTTTATAACATCGGATGAGAGATAAATGCTGAATTGGAAAGTCTTGGAAGAAAGCGGCAGTGGCCTAATTTAAATGTCATTCCGGAATGTTCCTGGGGGACTTGAATAAAACCACTAAGTCCCTTTCTCAAGATAACCTGTGTCCCAGCCGAGATTCCAACCGGGCACCTTCGAATAAATATTCCAGGTTTTTACCGCTAGGCCAACCTGCTCAGTGTGTGTATTGTTTATTTGGGTATTTTAAATACGTCACATAGTCTTTGTAAAAAGCGCAGAGAACGACGAACACATGTACATCTTCATCTAAAGAGTACGCTATTGTCGTGCTAATTTAACTAAACTTAGAATTTACTAAAAAATTGTAAAATTCCCCTCGGTGGTTCTCAGGTTCTTACATGCGGACAGACAGGCAACTGTACGGCTAGAGAGATGGACAAGACAAGAGGTACGAGATGCATTTTTACAGCTTTCCGTTGACAAGTCAAAACGGTGGTCAAGTATTCGAAAGAAAGAATACCAATAACTGTTAATGGCGACAGTCATCCAGCAGAGTAGAATGGGGCAAGATCTGGCATTTACGGTTTGTCGTGATTTCCTCCTACATTTTCAGAAGATAAAGAAACATATCAATTCTGGAATCAGTAATCATTCAAGCCTATTTAAAAGACCACCTGTTTTACTAACAATTCATACCAGAAATTAATGTCAACTCTTAATCTGAAAACTTTGTTATTATAATTGCAGTTGTTAGATACAACGGTACTTACGTATTAACGGATGATCCAAGACACTTTACAACTTTACTGCATTACCATACTTGTAAAAGCAGAACCCAAGCCTAACCTTAAAATTTGCCTCCAACAACAGGTCCACATATTTGTGGTTTAGGTATCGTTTTTGAAAAAATAGGCATCTGTTTCCGTTTGAAAACGTCAGGCTTCTGGTTTTGTCCTTAAATAAATATACTTTTTAAGGTTTGGCTCGGGATTTTGTTTTCACGGATCAATTTCTACTGTTGCCAGCTCTAATGTGGCGGACATGAGAGAAAAAAATTTAAAAAGCGTCATCCGCTAATACGTAAGTACAGTTTTATTTATCATACTTGTCTACGTCTCTGAATTACCCCATTTTTCTACACACACACACATATATATATATATATCCTTAGAATTCTGTTACTTTATATACAATCACATCAGTAATATCAACAATGGATCTTTTCAGTATATCATACTTCCTAATTATATGTGTGCATTAGGTCCAGAGAATGCTGGGTAAATCAGTTAGGTAGGTTCATTAGATTTTATTCTAAGTTTTTCTTTATTCCTATACTATAAACCTGACAGACCAAGTAGGTACCTAAAATCTTTGACCTTTTTCAAATTTACCCCAGTTACTATTTTTTGCTCCTATCATATACTTCGAAATCCGTTTCCAAAACGTTTGCTTTATTTTCGTGTACATTCGTAGTATATAATTCCAAAACTGTACTCAAACTAAAAACCTCTTTCTTTTTGTGACAGTTATTTTCCTGTTAACAATATTTCTCTTACGAGAGACCAAATTTCACACCCATATAAAACGAACAAAATGATTAATTTATGACTTGTGATAGGAAGTAAGTAGATATGATCCGGAAATGAGAATTCAACCTGATCTCATTTTTTCGATGTCCAAATATCCAGTTATCGCTCTTCGGATTATTAATTTCGGCATATGATTGAGATAAATTCTTATTCGGAGCTCCGTTCATGAGATCTGATGAAAACCAATTTACGTTTCGTGCAGTTGGGCAAAACGAAATTTACTGTTTCTTCGATGTTTTAGTGTGACTCCTTATATCAAAAATCGTGAAAATGCATTACCTGTTTGGGAAATTCGTGTGGTCGGACGGACGGACAGACAGAAAGGACGGCTCCTACTGAGTGGATAGAATGCATGAAACAGTAGTGTCACAGTTACCATCAATTAAATTTTGGTGTACGGAGGACCTAAGATGACACTAGTTACGTTCACACCTCCTTTGTAATGTCAGGCTTTGAGTTTGCTTAGCACCTCCGCAAACTATATTTTCACCAGTTATGGGCATCGTAACAGTCATGAATTTAAATGGTGTTGTTATTCTATTCGGCAATTAAAAACCCTATACATATTCGGATATCATCTTGCAGATAGGGCACCCCTATACATATTCGGATATCATCTTGCAGATAGGGCACCGTGAAATAAAGGCAACAGATTTTTTTTTAACATATCTTACTCAAAACCGCTCAGCACTCCACTGTAAGGCCTATGCTTGCGTGTGCTGTTGTAAACACTACTGTGTAACAAAGAGCGCGAATGACAGCAATCAGATAATGGATTATATGGTGTATTGACAGCAGTAACCGGAATTCTGCTGTACACACATCAAAGACGTGAATGTGGGAGTAGCAAGAGCAGTGAGCGAGCATTTATCGAAACTAAACCTATGTAACTGTGAACGGAAAGTGAAAACAGTTCAATCATACATATCTGCAGTTCATTACGTGAACTTACATTCATAATTCTACGAAGTAGCACACATCAGATACAACACGTTTGTTTCATCGCTTTATCGCCACTAATTTCAACGGGAACTGCTAAGGAAAATTACTGACAGATTTTAAACTGTTTTTACATTAACATGTTACGCTGTGACAACTGTATAAGGTTATGATAGCAATTAAACAATTAAAAAAACAGAAAACACTGTCAAATGGGCACATATCAAAGACTAAAAATGTAATGTTAAAAGCACCTCCAATTGCGATGTCGCACATGAACAGAATTTCTAACTTACGCCTGAATTTGATTAGCTCTTGAAGTTGGTATGAGTGCATTTGCAACCTTATAGCAGATAACTACAACCCGACTACATGCAATATTTACACATTACAGTACTTTACTTATTCAATGCTGACGATACTGCATAACTTCCTTCGGCTTCCGGCACTAACTTTAAGCTATTTTCTACAGGATTGCTTTTGCTTCTACTTCTACTTACCGCTAAACACCAACTGAATTTGATTTGCGCACGTCCATTGCTGCTCATGCGCACTATGACAAAACCGCTCAAAATTTCAGTACCACCAACTGATGATAAAATTATGGGATAATGGTGATACTGCAGGGCTTTGCCAAACATTAACGTATATTCCCCTGCCTTATTTCATACATTACACGTTATATAACACAATAGGCTTCGTTATTATATACGAAGCAATAAAAACCACAATATTTAAAATCCAAGACATACGATTTTTCTTTAGATTTGATTAAGTACACTATGAAAATTTCATATCACAAAAGTATGCACATGTAATCTCATTAACAGCACTAAAAATTAAGTACAGAGCTTCTAAACAACAGTCATAGTCAATACATTTCAAAATAAAATTTTCACATCACTCAAAAGTAAATAAAGCAAAATAGTAAAAAAAAATATCTAAAACTGTATAAAGAGTGACAATAGAGTTAACAACTGAATCACTGAAATACTGAAAAAAAAAACACAGGAAACTTGACAACTGCATGGAAGTCCCATGGTTATAGATAAAAAAAAACTTCCAGTAGTACCCATGACAATGTAGACTACAATTATTGTACTATGTTGATGAAATGGAGTGGGTGAGGGTTACCTAGCATATACAAGAACAACAATAAACATCCTTCTCAACGAGAACTTCTAAAATTGTGATCAACCCTTTATGGAATTTTTAGAGCTGCTCTTTCCCTTATTATTAAAAAAAATCCTGTTGAGAAATAAAGCACATACATATACTGGTAAACTTTCCTTCTGAACTGGCTGCTAAGAAAACATTTAACAATTTAATTACACTATTGCTTGCAATTTTTATCCTGTGTTAATATTTTTAGATTAATTTCTTTCCCCTCACCTGTTCTGTCTTGACTGTCAGCAGCGTGATGGAACAAAGCTCTACCTGCACACGGCATTACAGGTAAATATGTTGATGGTTCCTTGTTCAACTGGCTCATTATCAAATTAAAAGATCTTTTATCATTTCTTCAGTTCATCTTACTTTTTTTTAATGAGGAAGCTCTCCCCATATAAGTAACACAATTTCAAACATAGGAACACAAATAAGATGATATTTTATTATAATCCCCTACATGTTTCTTTTTATTTCTTTTTGAAGAAGGTGGAGATGTTTTTTGACCCAGATGCTGATTTAGCACGCGCCTTGTCTTTCGCTGTGATGCTAGGTTTGACAGCCTGCAACAGAACATATTTAATTTCTTACAGCTAATTTATCACCACAAACTACATTCATACTTCACTAAATAGAACCTATACAGCAATTCTAGCACAGACACGAACATTGGGGTGGGGGTTGTATTAAACAGAAGGAATAAAAAGATATAAATATTTCACTCCTATTTCTGGCAGTTCCAGGTAATACAGAGCACTACTTCACAACATACTGCATCTCACTGTTTTGCTAAGGGGAACTAGACATTTCTTCGGTGATGAGGAATTACCTACATTAATTACAGTGTAAACAGATAAAAGGTAAGCACAAAGTTGTGCCCGTGTTTAACTTATTAAACACACCATGATGACATGGGGTAATGGAGGTATAGCTCCACTATTCTAGACCTCGGCCCTAGATGGAGGTGAGTGGTCAGCTTCAAGTCCTGGCCATTTTACCCCCAGGGAAACAACCCCCCGTACCCCTTGGATGCGAAGCTGGGTCGACCCCAGAGCTGGTCTAGATGCTGTGGAGTGGAGAAAAATATCTTGCACCTGGCAGGAATCAAACCTCAGCCAATGAGCCAACATAGCCATTTAGCAAGACTCTCATGAGAATTTTAACTAAAATGTAAAAAAGAACTTTTCACATGAGCCTAGACTTTTGCAATATTTCAGATGATTTATGCATAATGCTGTGTCCTTTAACATTAAATTAAACTAATAAATACATTCTGAAATTGTTACTTCTTGCTGTAACCTATGTTATGATAAATACAAAATGTTTTTTCGTTAATTAGAGCCTTGTGGGTCCGTCACTTCTCTCCTGGAAATGGAACTGTCATCTTCATGAAGCCACTGATACATCAGCTGTGACTAGCTCAGGAAGGCCTTGATTAGTAATAGCAAGAGCGATAACATCTCCAATAAAGATATCATCAAGTCAAAGCATCAGGAAATAAATTATTTAAATTAAATTTAAACCAGCGGCTCTCAAGTTGCCTTAAGTTGTAAATTCTGTACCAAAAAAAGTTCCTACCCAGAATAAATTCAGAAGTCATATTCTTGCCTCTACTAATTATTACCTCAATTACATTCATATGAATGGCATAATATGCTTAAAACATATGAGTGGTTAACTATCAATACAGGGTGATGCTGGGATGTTCCACATCTTAAGACAAGGTCTAAAATTTGCAAATGAATGGGTGCACGGCTCTGTCAAGGAGTATGGTAACACAAGAGAAAAAAGCAACAATCAATCATGAAGAAGCTTTCTTGCTATGAACTTTCAGCTGCGCATATTAAAACATGTGAAACAGCATCTCTTGCTAAGAGGAAACAATGGGAAAAAGAAAAATGTGTGTTAGTAGATCAATCCTTGGATTCCAAGAATACTGTCATGTATAAGAGGTTAGCATGACTAATAATAATGGGTTCTGGATTTGATGATTAGATTTATTGGCACTTCTTTACAATTACAGTCAATGGTAACAGCTCACACATGAAACTCCCTCTGAATAACTTCTGAGGAACTTCTATGAAAACTCTTGGATTAACCTCTACTAATCTCTCACTATTCTCTTACTACCTTGAATCCTCGGATCAACTCCCTTTTATAATTGCCATGTGGCCAACATATAAATCACCAAGTTGAACAGTTAATTCCTTCCATTGTCATGGGAACATCTTTGTTTAGCTACCTAGCAACAACTAGTTCGTTGCTATTCGTTGCAGCTGGAATGCGATTACCAAGATGCTGCTCAGTAATGGATGTCCATCCAGCTCCAATATTCCGTCTTTCAGCCATCATGTCACAATACTTTATTAGTGGGGAAACCATGCAAAAGAATGGCCAAAAAAAGTCAATGCTATGCAAACTACACTTCTTGCCCAGCTCCTGCAGACAGGTGACACAAAATATTCAACAATAAAAATATCTGGAAAGTTCTCTAAAAGGCACCTAAAGCACATCAGATCAGTTTTGTTCTCTTCTTTCAAAATCAATATTTATACATCTATATTCTTGAAAAAAGAGAAAGAAAGAGTAATACAACAGCACTAATTACAAAAATATCACTAACAGGTATGACTAAATTTTAGGACCGAAATAAATTTTGTCTTTACTTGTTTATATCTAATTTTTAAAATATATCTATGTAATATAAATATGGATAATGTCAAATGTCTCTCTCACTAACTCACTCACTCACATATGCACATATATGAGTACACGATAAGATCAAGCAAGCTGGCTTAACTGGTAAGCCTTTGACTTGAATGTGGAAGATACATGGTTAAAATCTCAGCCAGGACACAGATTACCCTGAGATTTTTATGTTTTTTTTTCAGTCTTTCCAGGCAATTGACAGGACAGAACCTTATATTAGGCTATGACCAGTACGTTCCAAATACTTTCCACTTCATTTTACATTAAAATCCCATCCTTTAGTGCAGTAAGTTCTGACATCACCATTAAATAATAAAATCTTCTTAGGGCATCAGCTGTATCAGTTGGTTAAAAATCACTCACCCATCATCAAGGTCTGATGATCAGACTATGATAATGGGAACAGAGATGGTCCCTGAAAAGTCAGTAATGTTTAACCAAGTGATGTGGGTGGCATCCTGAGAAGACTGTATTAATTTCAGCCACCGTGAAAGCTTCATTACAACATTAAATAAGCTATAAACACCTAAATTTATCACAGTCTTCCTCTCATAACCTCCACTGCAGTATGTGTTGCCTCTTTCAGGATTTGCATAAACAGGACGGCTAATTTCTGTACTTGTGAGCTACAAGAAAGGTTTGGAAACACAACAGCTCGTGTGGGGAGTGCTGACACATTTACAGTTTTCTCAGTATATGCACAATAAGACAACTGTCAATGCGTAACACAAAATAATAAAGCAAATGTTCAAAATATTTTCATCTTCTCTCCATGGAGACATGTGGTTTGGTGCAGCTGTTCCATTTTCCACCCTGTTGGGCTAGTCAAGACTATTCCTTTCCCCTCTATTCTCAAAAGAAGCATTCTGTTCTTTTTCATGCAGTCACACAAGCAGACAAGTCCATCTGGTTGGATAATGTGCAGGGGGTCAGTCTGCTGCCTGGCTTAGTGTATGTAGTCTTGTAACAGTTATCATGCACTTTCAAGTATACTAAACCCTTGATAACCTGGATCAAAATATGAAAAATACTGTTCACAGTTGAGTACATAATTTAAAAGACACATGGCATTTAGGAAGGCAGATGAGTCACTTGTTTGTTCAGACAAAACTTGACAATATCTTCAAACCTGTATTATTACATTCAAAGTACAACTTCAGATACTTCCATCAATGAGTAAATGTATTAACTTTGTATAGTTTTTAAATAAACGCTCTACAGTGATATTTTCTTTTTTTTTGCTTGTTTTCATCAGCACTAATTATGTCATTAAATTTTACATTTATTTGTGTTCTAAACTTTTTTATCTTTTAGGGCTACCCTTTCCTTCATTAATCCTGATTATTGTTTAATTTGGATGACCTCTCCCCCCAGTTACTCCACATTAGCAAGGGTTTACTGTACATGAATCATGCTATTTACATGTTGACAGTTACCCTCATTACATCACTGGTGCCCCTCAAATTCCCCTCTTAGTCCCTGCTTACATGAGCCATTCCATGGGACAATTATTGGAGTTTGCTCCAAATGAGTTTCAGTGGACATGCAGTGTAGAATCACAGGATAGACAACTGTCCTACTTCATAGGATTTGGGGTCCTCACAGCAGTGGTTATGAAGAGTTCTATCTTCTGGGATATAATGCCTTGTAGTCCCCTGAAAGTCAATCGACGTTTTGTAGGAACTTGTCGACTCCAGCTTCTGGTTCGAATAAGCTCAGCAAGATACCAGCGTGAAAGCAGTTTGCCAGCTGAGTAATCAGCTGGCCGGAAATTTTGGATTATACAGGAAGCAGGAGGTAACTGTCGTACTCGTGTGTGAGCAAAACTGAGTAAAGCCGTAAGTAGCTCTATGGAACAACATATCTATGAATACTGCTGACTACCTCAGCTAAACAAAAATGAACCCACTGCCAAACCTACCAATTACTTCCATGTTTTTTAAGGAAGATGTAAATGCACCGAATACTTGCATGACTTTTAAAGCATGCTTTACACTTGCAAGTTCTCATGTAAATGCAGATGTGCACATATTTACATCTTGTTAATTCGTATCACTTAGTAGCAGCACATAATGCTATGGATGCTGCCTCAATTCTTGCAGTAATAAATCCACAGTGGTAGTGTTTCCTGGTGCATGCAAACTTGGTCACAAATGCTGAGATGATGTGCTAATGTAGGTTTGTGTCTTAGCAGTAATAATATATTTTTGTTACTGTAACGTTTTTCAATAGTCTGTGCCTGATGGTGACAAAGCAGAAATATTTGCAAATTCAATTATAAATACAATCACAATATGGTACTATACTACACAGCTGCCATATCTGATTGAGGCTAATGCTGTCATGTATTTGTGACTACAGACAAGGTTTTGGATAACTGGAATTACTGACCACTTACAGGTCATAACTACAACATTATCTCTGATTTCCACACTACAAATCACTCCATGCTACGTCTTCTCAGTCCACTTTCACTACTTATTGTTTGCTAACAGCTTTCAACAATGGCTACTCCTCTGCAGCGTTTTCACTAGACGTTTCCTGGCAACGGATGTTAAGAATGGCTGTTCCTCTGCATCTGTGCTCAAGTCCCATATAAAACAGACTGCCAACTATCAACTGAACTGTAGTGCCTCCCTTGCAGGGTACAACTGACTCATTGTCCCAACTGCCTTCTTTTCATAACTGCTCAGTTCAGACCACTTGGACAAGACCCCATTTCAACCATTACAAGCATAATCGTTGCCACAGAAACAAGTTTACCGAGCTGTTACACAAAAACAGGTCTAATATAACAGCCTGTCTCACGATCATTGCATAACAATTGCTATACATGCTACAACACCATACAGATGATTCCTCCAGATGCCATCTGCTGGGGCCCTGAAATGGGCCATTATATTCCCAGTTCTCTGTTCAAATTTCCCTCCCTAAAGAAATACTTCACAGTGGCCCTGAAAATAGCCATTTTGTGTTTTTCATAGAAATGCACTTTACCCTAAAAACAATGGTTAATCTTGGAAAAGCTGGTTCTTTGTGGCTACTTTCCACCCTGTAACAATAAACTTGTGTGCATCCTTATAAGGGCCACATTTTGTCCATTTCTTATCACTGGCTTAGGCCATATTCCTTTCTCCTTATCGCCCTGGGTCCCATGACCACCTTCCTTGTAGCCTGTCTACATAACCAAGCCAATTCCTGAACCTACAGGCTTCAATCCTGAAGATGGAGACAGCATATTCCCCCAAAATGTCAGTATCCACCCATAAAGTTACATGGAGTCACAACTTGGAAGGCCACATCCTTAATTGCTGCCATGAAACCTGAAAACTTATATTCACTATCCACATTCATGGTCAGTGTATGAACACAGTAATCCCATGTTTAACACAGCGTTATGTTCTCGAGTTATAATGTGGATATCAAACTCATATTCTGCAAGGGGAAATGCAGAGTAAGTGTCCAAAAACATTCATATACAATAGCTCAAAATTCAAAATAAATACAGTATTTACATATATACTACAAGAAACAGCTTTTATTCATACTGTTGACAGATTTGAGCAATGAGTTGCCAGGCAACAGCTTTGCAAACATGAATACAGGCAACAATAGAAGGGAAGCTATGCTTTCTGTTCGGTCCATGCCAAGCAAAAGCACGGAGCTATGGGAAATCTGTTGACAGGCAACACAGCTGTAAACATGCATCCACAACAAGGGGAGATGGTGTTTTCCATATGTTTCGATGCAGTTAACTTTTAGAAGCTTTTTCTATGTCAATACATGCTACCAGCAGGATGTCCATTACCTTTACTATGGAGAAAAGTTCTGCCATTTTTCCCACCAACAGAATGTGCTGAACCATCAGAAATTTAATTCTAATAGGCTAACACAAAAATTTAAGTTACATTTAGTGGGAGTACAGGAGGTCAGATGAGACAGAGGTGGCAACGAACCAGCAGGCGAACATACATTTTTCAATTGAAAGGGGAATGAGAATCATGAATTAGGTATGGGTTATTTTGTACATAAGAGAATCGTATCAGCAGTTAAGAGGTAAGTTGTCATACATAGTACTAAGAGGTCACTGGTGCGATATCATTTTCAATGTTCATGCCCCAGCTCACTCACTCATGGGGCTGAGCTCTTTTTGAGAAGCTGCCAATTGTGCAGCTACTCAAGAATTTCCCTGAAGGTTCATTACCATCTTCACAAAAGCCTTTCACTGGTCTCTATCCTGAGCCAGATCAATCCAATCCATACCATCCCATTCAATCTCTCTAAGATGTTCATGCCCCAACAGAGGATAGAATTAGGGATATGGAGGGCAGATTCTACGAAGAACTAGAGCATGTATTCAATAAATTCCCTAAATACAATATGAAAATTTTGTTAGGAGATTTCATTGCCAAAGTACGCAGGGAAGACATTTTCAAATCAACAATTCGGAATGAGAGTTTGCACAATATCAGAAATGATAATGGAGTCAGAGTAGTAAACTTTGCAACATCCAAAAATCTTATTGCCAAAAGTACGATGTTCCCACACTGTAACATTCATAAATTTACTTGGACATCTCCTGATGGAAAAAAGCACAATCAAACTGACATATTTCGACAGACAGGAGACAACATTCAAATATACTTGATGTCTGAGCGTTCAGGGGAGCAAATAGCTATACTGTTGTGGTGGCAGAAGTCAGGGAGAGACTGGCAGTGAGCAAACAAACAATGCACAAAGTTCATATGGAGAGGATCAATCTCAAGAAATTAAAAGGGGTAGAGGGTAAAGAGCAGCATTGTGTTGAAATCTCAAATAAGTTCGAAGCTTTGGAAAACTTGGATGCTGAGGTGGATATTCATAGAGCTTGAGAAACTATTACAAATAATATCAAAATTTCAGTCAAGGAGGATGAGATTGGTGGGGCATGTAGAATGGGGGGGAATAGGAATGCATATAGGATATTGCTGGGAAAGACAGAAGGAAAGGGACCACTAAGAAAGACCAAGATGTGGGTGGGTGGACAACATTAAAGAAGATGGGATGGTATGGACTGGATCGATTTGGCTCAGGAGAGGGACCAGTGGAAGGCTCTTGTGAACATGGTAATGAACCTCTGGGTTCCATAAAACACTGGGAAGTTCTTGAGTAGCTATACAATTGGCAGCTTCTCAAGAAGGGCTCAGCTCCATAAGTGAGCAAGTGAATAAGTTAACACAGTCTCTGGGAAATGGCCAGGCTACATGGGCAATTCAAGCATCATATGTGTGGGTGAAAGTTCAACACCATCATAAGAAAAGTCTGCCACTAAATTCTATACAAAATCAGACTCAGTTATGTAAGATGTGTTTCAGTAATGTTCTCTCAATGGCTTTCCAAGCCTAAATGTAAGCAGAGTGAACCAAACAAAATGGCATACACATCCTCAGTCTCACAACATGCAAAACAAGAAACACAACCAAACATTGACATGCAACTCAGAAACCCACCTTCTCTGGCTTGGTGAGATCTAGAACTCCTCCATTGGCCAAGTCTTCCTGCTTGGCCCTTTTGAAGAGCTCTCCTGGCTGTGCACAAGGTGGTGTGCCAGTATTGCTGTTGCCACCATACTGTGCCACTGACAGTTTGCGCTTTCCATGGCTCTCTGATGGCTTTTCTTCAGGTAGGCCCAGGTACTTCAGGAGCTTGATACTTAGGTCCTCTGTCAGGTATTCTGATACAATCCCATGTGCGTATCTAAGGTACGACTCTGCCGCCACCAAAGGGAAACAATAAGTCTATTATTATCATGCTCTCAAAGATGCGGGTTGCGACTGTACTGAAGTTATGGACTTAAAGTCACCATGAGTGGTGGGATAACAGTACTCAGAGTTTTCCCCTTTCTGCCTACTGCCATGATCCCCTCCAGCCCCCTCTGGCATATGTCAACTAGCCCAAGGCATCTGTCGCTAGTGAATGTTAACATGTGGTTACCAGTACCAACATTTAAGCAAACAGAATGGCTAGACTGGGAGGAAGTGCAGAGGTGGCCGATCCTTGGGACTTCTCTACATGGCCTCAGAAAAGCGTTTCCATTTTTTCGATTGACAGGACTGTGTTGTGATAGGCTGACCTACCAGTTGCAAGAAGCAACTATCAGGCTACACTGCATCACACCCAGAAGACTACTCTTTGGGGGGGGGGAGGACTTCACTCAGGGTAGCTAGTGCCAGTCACAAAGGTCACCCACCAAATTTTGAATTCCTTGGCACTGAAAACATGAGTCATAATGAAGTCTTCTCCAGGTGATCAGTCATATCAGTGTGAAGTACCTGATGTTCTGGAGACTGTCTCCATCTCCATCATCAGGGAATAATGTGGTGAGAGACTCTCCAAAAGACTGGATACTGAATCCACATTAATGTGGCTCATCAATGGAGCAGACTTTGTTGCATGAAGACACTACTAAATCACATTCACTATTTCCTCAACAAGAAGCTCCCAGATACTAAGATTTTAAATGTAGGGGAGCTAGATTTCTGAAGTCCCATAAGCATAATTTAAATTTTCCTTCACATAATGATCCTGTGTAAAAAAGACCTTACTGTTCAAAGGTCCTCTGCCTCTGATTTCTATATACAAATCTCCCACTCAATACATTCGAAATAATACTGGTGACTTTGACACAAAGGGCTAGGCTTTACATCCATTATTTATTTCTCATTGTCAGTACAACAGTTGGTAGTCCATGGCAAACCACTTCACAACTTTTACCCAACTTGCTGACCATTCACAGGTTCCACAGTTTCTGTGACATGTGAAGTGTATTACTGAATATTTATTTCTGCTCACTCAATTTTTAACACTCTTGTTTTACTGCCCAGCAAACTTTGCATTGTATGTGTACATATGCCTATAAGTTTAATAATAACAAGAAATTGTTAATATTACTTATATTGTGGTGCAAAGTAATTTAAATTACATAAAGCGGCAGTTACAATGAAATGAAAAGCAATTACTTTGCAGGAGAAACTTAATATTATGCAGAAAATGGAAGCGATTCCAAATACAACACGTTACTTTCTACAGTGTTTTGGTAGTTCATTATAACTTGTGTTTTATCATGTTTCTTTAGCACTGAAGTAAAATAAAACAGAGCTCTGGTGTTGCCCAGTATTTCCAAACTGCCTTAACAACATACATACATACATTCATACATTTCTGTTTTCTATGACTGAAATATTATGAAACAAGTGCTTGCTAACGAAATTATAAAAAAAGTTAAAGCCATCCTCATAACAGGTCATGAAGGCCCATAGGGGCGTGAGATGTCAAGGCTCCCACATCTTCTAGACAACTGGTTCAGAGATGGTGGTAAGGTTGTCAGCCTTATGCGCCGGCTGTCCTTTAACCCCCAGAAATTTTCCTGGTACTCATTTCTGTTAGAGGATGAGATGACCCCAGGACCATAGTGCAGCTAGAAGGATTTGGTAAATTGAAAATTCCAATTACCTCATTGGGACTCAAACCCACGACCTTCCAGCTTGTAGCATAGTGCCTCAACCAACTACACTACCGCGTGCCCCTAACAAAATAATAAAGTGGAAGAAAACATCCATCTAATTTTATGTTTCCCTTATAAGATGTTTTTCCCTTTAAGAAGATTTTTTTTCTACTGGTCACCTCAAAAACATCTTATCAGGGAAACAATGTTTATCACATCTTAAGTTATTCAAACTGTACACTGAAGCAATAGCAATATCAACAGAAAGTCACCCTGTGGGGCATAGGCTGGTAGAGGTAACTCATGCTTGAAGGGTTTAATGGGTAAAATGTTGGTTTCATATTAAAATGGTGCCACTTAAACAAGAATTTTTTTTTAGGCAGGAAAATTATAAACCTGTCAAGTGTATACGTTCCATGTTCTTATATATCCTGCACTGGGCAATTAGATTTCCCTGTACATTTAGATTTGTGACTGCAGTGTTTAATTTTATAACTGCTGCTCCCTTTTTAAAATTCAATATCTCAACCTTGTGTCATTATAACATTATGAAACAAAAAGTCTTTGAAAGACCAATTATCAAAGTTCATATACAAGTATTTTCATTTATATAGCCATTCCAATAAAGTTTATATACGAGGGTAAGTCAATAAGTAAGTTACAAATGGATATAGAACTTAAACCAATAAGAGTACTGATTTGAAAAATGCTTTTATTTCTCAACATAATCTCCCTGTACATTGAGGCACTTGGCCCACCGTTTCACAAGCCCCTGAAAAACCAGCAGCATAAAATTCTTTGGGCTGCTGTCGGAAGCAGGCGTGTTCACACGGCATGGCCTACCTCATAATGCTACCACAAAAGCTATTTGTTCTTCCAAACATCGGCTTCAAAAACGTTATCTTGTACAGACTACAAAATCATCAGTAAAACGATTATACTACAGGAAACGTTGTTTTAACTCCAGTGGCACATACCATGGAGGTCTTTATAATTAAGACGTAGTTTTCTATACCATACCATAGTACACTTCCTAATCACTAAAATCTTACATTCAGACATTTCTTAGCCACTTGCTGAACCTCGACCCACTTTCACGCCTCTAGAAGTCGGCCACCATGTGGTAATGTTTGAAACAGGGTAAACCACACAGGGACACCTTACAGTTTTTGTAGTTGTACCTATTTTCACGATGCTGACCATTTTTGTAGTACATAACATAACAGTGCCATGAATTTCGCTGACATTGCAGCAGCAATGTAGGAGGGATTACGAGGAACATAAAGTTCATCCTGGAAATGCTTCCACTTTATTTTTTTCTTTGGCGGGGGGTAAAGTAAATATGAATTTAAACAGCAAATATCAACCAAATAATGGAAGAGCCTTTGATAGTATTTTTCTAGTCTTTTCCTTGTGCTGTGATAGCTTGTCATGTTAGCATCACTGAGGTCCAAACCTCCCATCCCAGAATTATAATCGATGACTAATTTTGGCTTCTCCATGTCTTGCCTTCGAACCCTACTTGGAACTATTTTGTTATCATGAGTGGTATTTATAAGACAAATATCTTTCTGTTTTCCCACTCCATTAGCATTAGTCTGTCTTTGTAGCCTGAAAGATGTTCTCCTTTTTCAGTTTTGCAGGAAAACCCTTCCTGCTTTGATGCAAGGTCCCCATAGCATCGGTCTATTTGCTGCATAGCTTATGGAATAGATCTGGTCTTGAAAATCAGTTGTCCATGATTACATGACACTCCTGATTCAGAAGATGAACCATCAGTTGCAGAACCACTTTCAAGCCACATGGCTCATTTTTTATGAATTCACCAAAAACGATATCCTGCCAAGTGTAAATAAAAAATTGCCATACATAACCAGATTTGGCATCACATAATTCAAACGATTTTATACCAAATCTACCACGTTTTGAAAGAATGTATACCTCCCTTGACAAATGTCCCTTCCACATCATCAAAAACTCACCTACTGACACAGCACACTCTGGGGTATATACATTCCTAAATTTGACATTTAGGTGATCCAGTGAGGGTTTAAGTTTATACAACCTTTAGGAACTGTAAGTAGCGTCACTGTAACTTTCACTGTCAACGAACTGGAGAAACTTGAGTACAAGGTGAAACCTCTCACTGAACAAGTAAACAAATTTTGGTGTTTCCAGAATTTTCCTCTAGGAGACACAGCTCTTGTTATCTGGTTTCTGGTGAAATCCTTGAACAGAAAGAATGCCAGCAACTTCATTATTCCATTTCTGCTCATCTCCTTCCAGCAGTGGGCCCTAGATCTTCGTTTCTGATTAGGCGCGTTTTCTAAAAATTTTTGGGCATACCAGTTTCTTTCTCTGGATATTACTTCTGCAATTTCCAGTGTACAAAACAACTCATAATATTCCAGGGGGTTATTGGGGTCCTTCAAATCAATATTTAGGCCAGGCTTGCCAGTAGATGGAATATGTGGTCGCATAACACCTGACCTTGCCCACATGCCATGCTGCATGTTGCTGTTGTCATTGACATTTTCTTCTTCATCAGAGCTGGCACTCTGTTCTGTTCACCATATGACAAAATGTCCACATTTATTTCACTGTCACTACAATATACGCTCTCAGAAATATCATTATATTCATTCTCTCACAATAATAGTTCATGAAACACCTCCTCATCACTCACACGCATCTTCTTACTAGGACCTGCCATAATGTTTAGTCAAAAGAACTAGAACCCAGGGCAGCTGTCAAGCAATCAGCACGTTCCTGTCACACTTTGAAGTAACTAGATGATCCAACAGGCACAGCGTACAAATTTGCATTGCTAACAGTCATTATAACTACAACAGTGTAGATAAAAACATGCATGCCATGTAGAGATGTCATATCCACTATGATACAGAGTAGTGCATGTGTTGACATACACACTTAACTGATTAAGGAGATTGAAAATACAAGGTCATTCAAATGAATGCTGCAAAACCAATAAAGTGCATATTACGCAAAAAACTGACATTACTCTTGTACCAGATTTTTGATCAAGGACTGTTCACAATACTGACAGCCCACATGGTACCATCTATTGGTGTTATTTGGAAGCAGCCAATTTTCAAGATGGCAATACCCCCGAAGTCATGCACCAAGGCAGACATGAGACCTGTAATAAGACTAAATGCAGAAGAAGTAAAATCTGCTGAAATTTATGGCAGAATGTTGGCTCATTCACCAAATTTAACTCCATATGTTTATCACCTTTTCTGGACACTGAGACACACTAAGAGGATGTCATTTCTTGTCATATGAGGTCAAGATGTCAGCACATGAATGCATTCACCAACAACCACAAAACATCTCTCGAGGAATTCATGTATTACTGTGGTGTTGGGTGTTGGAGGAAATGCGGCAGATGTCATGGACACTACATTCAAGACAGACAGGCATAGCTTCCTTTTGGTCCATTTTGATTTGAATGACATTTATACCTTATCCTTATGGGAATTTCTGGCACCAAATATCTTAGGCAGGGAAACACCTTGCACAGGAACATGTTACATGGGCTCCATTGTATACTAATTTAAGATTAGGAAGTATTTCGCTTAGTGGGGGGTGGAGTCAAACTGGGTCCACTCAGCACGGCAGCCACTGATTGGCTTAGTTTAGTCTGCCACGGGTGATTATAATGGAGAATTTTGGTGGAATGAAGATTGGCAGGGGAAACTGAAGTACTTGGAGAAAACCCACCCCACTGCCACTTTGTCCACCACAAATCCCATTTGACCAGACCCAGGATCGAACCCGGGCCGCTGTGGTGGGAAGCCAGTGACTTAACCACTTCAGCTATGGCATGGCCACTGATTAGAAAGTAGATCAAACATCAAAAACATCAATGGTACAGGTGTAAACAGGACTACTGCCACCACTCTTTCTATTGTTACCCTAAGCGGCATGAATTTAATACCTTCAAGAAATAAAAACTAACCACATGAATATATTAGTTTTCAAAGTCATGCTAGGCTTACCAGCATCAGCAAGATCTGATTTTCCACTCTTTACAAATGTAGCTGAAACAGCTCCACCTGACACGTGAATGCCCTTCTGTTTCAGCACTTCTGCCACCCTCTCTGTCTTTCGCTGAAGCCAGCTCAGCGTTTTCTCTTCGTTGTACTTGTACGCATTCAGGTCTTCATCTCCTAAAATTACAGTACACTACATTCAGCAAATGGGCCCATAAAATTAAACTGACTGCATACAGATGTGTAACCCGACATTCATTAGAACATGAGCCTCAGACAAGAGTGTGGAATTCATTACCCACAATTCCACAATTTCTAGCTAACAGTTACATGTTTGTGGGCTTTCTCAAACCTGCTAGGTTAAAAGAACTTTGTACATCAGCATATATTAATTAGGTTATAGCTACTTTCTTTCTTGCTGACTCACATTCAATATTCATTATGTCTGTACCATCCCATAAAGAATAAACATCACTTGACACAGCATTACATAATCTGAGGATTATTCCATATTCATTTCATTTTAATGAACATTTGCAATACTGTATGACACACAACAACATTCCTTGGGTGGCAGACTGGTTAGTTAACCTTTCTAATATATCAACAGGGGCTAAATACCAGGGATGACAGATTTTTAAAGGGGGTCATGTTAGACAGTAAAAGGTGAAGTTGTACTTCTGCTTAACTACTAATCAAGCACTACACCATGGATATGTATGGGAGAGTGGCTGTACAGATCCAAGATTCTTGACCTCAGCACTAGATGGAAGTGTGTGGTCAGCTCCATGCACCTGCTGCTTTACCCCCAAGGAAACAGCCCCTGGTACCCATTGGATATCAGGTTGTGTGGGCCCCAGAACCAGTCTGGATGACATGGACAGAAGAATCTTGCCCCTAGCGGGACTCAAACTTCAACCCTTCAGCCATCCAATCTGTAGCCAGACACTATACCAATCGTGCAATGTCATCAATAGTACAGGGTTATTCATAAGTCCGTGAAACATTTTGAAAATTTACAATAAATAAACTATGCAACGGATACCAAATTTTATTATACTGAAATAGAGATAAACTCACCAAGTTTTTTTTTTACATAGTTCACAGATGCTCTATGTGTCCACCTTTACTGATATGGCAGACATCTATGTGATAATCCATTTCATCCCATACCCGTGTCAGCATTTCACGGTTGGCCAGGGCCACAGGAACAGGGATACGGTTGCAAAGATCCATGAGATNACAGGAATAAAGAATATTTGAATTCTAGAGTAAGCTCATGTTAGGGTCTCTTGCAAATCACTGAGACACTCCTGTGGAACCACCTGACACTCATTCCACAGCCAGGTCACAGAGATGAAGACTAATGGCAGAATCAACAGGCCTGTCACCTAATATATTACAATGGAGAACAGGTCATGGAAGCCTCGAGGAACACAATAAATCTCTTTCGCACAACAAGTTTTGTCTTGGTTTTCTTCTGCCTGTGACCATTAGAAGGGCCCTTTTATACTTACCCTTTTCAGAGGCTCCTGTTCTTTCATTATGACCCCATCATTCCTCCTATCCTGAGTTGCTGCCATTTTCAGGTCCTGCTTTCCCTGTGGGCTTCATACGGTCCTGCGTCCTCTTCCCTGCGTGCCCATTCCTGCCTGTACCAATGTTTCAGAGGAACGTCTTAAAGGTAGAAGAATAAGCCAAGCAAGAGTTCTTCTTGGTACTTGCTTCATGCTGTTTGTTTTTGTTTCTTTGTTTAGCTTACTCTTCGACCCTTAAGATGGAGGGGATATGTTCCTCTGAAACGTCCAGTGACTTTCAGTGAACATGCTTTCCCCCACCATTCCTAACACAACTTGGAACTTTCCCAATCTGTCTCACTTGTGTACTGAATATATGCCATGTTTCTAGAACTGATGACAATCACTCACCACAACAGATAGTGTCATATCTGACAAGTCCACAATAGTAATTCTCATACATGACTGAGGGGTTGGAGTCAAGAAGTTTCTCTTCTCCACATCCAAAATGGTTTTAGGGCTCACCCAGCCTCTATCCCAGAGATACCGGGGGCTCTTTCCCCACAGGTACAGCAGCCAGGATGTGAAGCTGGCCACTCACCTCCAACTAGTACCATGGTCAAGAAAACACAGATCTGTATATCCACTCCCCCATATGTCTTCATGGTGTAAGGCTTAATTAGTTAAGCGTAGGAATACCATACTTACGTTACCTTTTACTGTGGCACTTACAGAAGCAATTACTGGGTGTAGTTCCCTGAGGTAAAGAAAGGGGCTCATACCTTTTCTGTCTGCAACCTGATTCAGGTGTTTGAGGCCTGTGGATCGAAGTAACCTCTCAGTTTCTGGGAATTCCTCATCCTTCAGCAATTGGTCCAGAGGCACTGCCTGATTTGTCTGAAGAAAGAAAAAAAAAAAAAGAAAACCTTAAATTGGAGACAAGACAGGTGACAAAGAAAAGGTCACCACTCAGGCTAATAGTTCTAAAAATTTCAAATTTGATGCGAAGGAAACCACAACAAAAATGGGAGCATATTATCAAAATGGATGTTAAATTCACTGCTTAGGATCAAAGTTCCTCAAGACAGTATGGAGAAAGGTTTTTCAAATGAAACACGTTTGCGTGTGCAGTTGAAGACATCCAAGCTGCAGTGGTGCAGTGGCTTCAGCAACAGCCCAGGGTGTTCTCCATGGAGCAGATCTATTGGCTGATGCGCAGTGCCTGCCTCAGTGTCCAGGGAAACTACTTTTATTGCCCTCTCACATTTCACTCAGAACTCTAAATGAGCTTCATTTCAACACCCTCCATATTTCCACTCAACTGGAGAGACTGAATTTCAGAGGATCTGGATAGGCACAGGTCTCAAGGATCCCACAGCTGTCAGACAGTAAAATGTGGTCATCAGTCTCATGGGACTCAGAACCAAGAATTACTGTTAACAGTCAGCAGCCAGTCACTCCACTTGAAAGATTTCTGTCTCCCTGTTTTGCGACCAGCATGACTAGTAAATAACTATGTGGACTCAATGTTGAATGCAGCACTGATATTGGGTATTTTCAGATTTTTGGATTATATGCTCTTCCTCTTTATTTGTGTCACTTCTTCCACTACAAAGGACAATCTAGAGTTCACTGAAAAAACTACCGTTACATATTTGCTCAAACCAAGGACTGTGGAGTCAGAGAAACAGCTGTTGATAGCAAATGGCTCTGAAACAACATTCATTTCTAGGCAACGGCTGTGAAACAAGTAATAGAATAATGCCTGTTGCTAGGCAGCAGATTCTTAATAATGCAACAGTTGGACTACAACAGTGGAAGATCTGTGTTTTATATATGGTCTATTCTGAAAGATTATAAGCGAGATGAGGTTTAGAGCTTAGTCACTTGATAGTCAGAAGACTAGGATGTTGGTGTGAAATGGCCATGAGTTAGTTGCAAGAGTGCACAGTTGAAAGTCCGGCTGTGAAGAGAAGGCTTTATGTGCGAAACATGGAGTGCATAATTCAATGAGACTGTTATAATTCCTGTGTTAAACTCTGTTACTGGGAAACGGTTCATGGAGACTTCAATAGAGTGAGGACACTAGCCTGTGCATGTCAGTGATTTGTAAGTACAGTCACGAATCATGAGTGTATAGGTGGTCACTAAATCGAGTCACCAATCCAAACCTCATCTATAGTTACTCATACTACGTGACAATATGTTTAGTGTGGTATTGATTACTATAGATTCAGAGGAACCTATAACCTCCATCTTCAGAATACTTCAGAGTACTTTTATCCTACAGCTGGAGAGTGGCAAGTTCCTCTGAAAAACTGGCACCCATTTACCACACTACACAGTATCATAACATGCAAGACAAGAATTCAAATCTGCACCTCTGTGAAAACCTTAAATCACAAAATATTTTGTTTTCGAACATACTATGTTCGGAATTCTTCGAAAGATGCGAGCAGCTCCTCCCCTCTTTACCCTACTGATATTCCAGGAGGGGGATTTCTGCCATTGTCCCTGATTCACTTGTGTTCTAAATGCCTCCCCCCTCCAGGTAGACTGGGGTGTCCACGCTAGCAGTGATTCAGAGGAAGGCTCTTCCTCATTGCTCAGTATTTAACAACAACAAGAAAAACAATAACAACACAAAATTAAATAATGGTAACTAAACATTCATATCAACAAATCTAATATTATCACACACTCTTGCACTTGGCTGCTTGTAGAGCACAAAATAAATCACAAACAAAAAGTATAATAAGAGTATGCAATTGACAAGAACTTGCAGCATTGCACCTCTCCTCTAGAAATACATGACTACCTTCTTATAATCTCAATAACAAGCCTTCCGGCAACACACTCTTGGGGTAATGCTGATCAATAAAAAAACAATAACATACATCTCAACTCAACTCACATAAAAACGTAAGTATACAAAAGATAATATCTACCATACAAAAGGGGCACTAGGGAAGTGCCAGTGATATCACAATATTTAAATGAACGCCCAACATTCATCTCTCTAACGTTATATTTTAGCNCCAACAGTATAACACACGCAGTCGCAGGAGCACGACACAACAAAAGCACAACACACAAGATAGTGAAGGAGTGCTCCAACAAAGGAGAATGGGCGTGACTGACGTAGTGAGGGGCGACGTAGCGATGTGGTATCCTGAACAATTTTAATATTTTTAACGTTTGACAATGTATATGATAGATACATATTTTAGTTATTTTAATGTGTGAACATGGCATGCAATGAACTGGTTTGACGTGGATAAGTAAGCACCTGAAGATGGCATTATTATGCCGAAACATGTAGTGCGAGGGAGAGAAGGAAATAAATGAGTGTATGCACTGCAAGACGGATTAAATAAATCATGGACTTCATCTCTCTTCTGCAAGGTGGTCACAGCCCGACTGTCAAAACAACAGACCAAAACAGAATGTTGAATGTGCTTTTGAAACCAAATTCCCAACTACCTCTGTGACAGCTGAAAACCCACCGAGAAGGGTTCTCACTTCATGTATCCAGACCAAGCTGGCAGAATATACTAGAACAGCTGAAGGAAGGGGGGGGGGGAATAGGGACGGTGAGCGCCTGGCTGTCCAACAGTACCAAAACAACTACAATCGAGCAATATGTAAATATGGCTCAGATGTTGACATGGAAGAGCTAAAGGCTCTCTTTGGATGCTAACGAAAATGGCTCTAAGTGACGAAGCTGAAATGAGTGCTTACTTTCCTGAAACATGAGTGGGCAAATGGCTTCTCTTTCGGAAGGTGTACTAGTAGACATATATATGTTTTTAAGAATATACCAACGACTCCCAAAGGAGCACTAACATAACAGACCATTCAATGTCAGAGACATTTCGAGAATTTTCTACTGATGACAGGAAATGATCATGCGGGAACATTTTGTATACTGTGAAATGACAGCTGAAAGCTGGAACAGACGAAGAAATAAAGGAAGCCTTGCTTTGCAAACAGTGCAGTAAAAGAACATTTCTGCAGCATTGTATAAACTCACAATAAAAGAGGAATTCTTGGCAGTGGTATCTTCTATGCAGTCCATGCCAAGGTTATATAACAAGAATACCAGCTGAATCAACAGTCAGTTTTGAGATGAAGTTGACAGTTGAAAGTCAAAGGTTGGGAACTGCAAGTCAGAGGTGAGTTTTTTGAGTTGCACTGTCAGACACCACTACCAAGCAATAACTAGTGACGACTAAGTCTTAGTGCTTGCAGTAGTGAGTTGTAGTCTCTGTAGATCAGCAAAAGTGTTATAATTATTTGGTAAGCATTTCATTATCAGTCTAAACCCCATATCTCATCAATAACACGTGACAATAGTAATTCAGGAATAGTCAACTTCATATCACTGTGGGGCCACAATGTGCCTCAATACCTAGCCATGGGCTGCATACATTTTTTTTTTCCAGATATTCCAACACAAACATCTGTTGTGCACTGGTCAGATCCATGAAGCACAAACACACAAATAACAACTGGACCCACAAGCTCAAAACCATTTATTTAAATGAAATACATCAACAGCACTTAAAAACCAGCAACTAAAGGTTTGCTTAATTCCAAAATGTTCTAACTAACTCCATGGAGATGAGCCTTTCTTGTGAAGCTGCCAGTTATGCTGCTACTCAAGAACTTAACATTTTATGGCACCAAAACGTTCACTACTGTGTTCACAATGGCCCTAAACTGGTCCCTATCATGAGCCAGATCTATCCGGTCCATTATCACCCTTTCCTATCTACCTAAAATCCATTTTAATATTATCCACCCATTTATGTCTTGGTCTTCCTAGTGGTCTGTCTAAGTGGGCCCCTTGTCAACACAGCATGGCTGCAGATAGAGATGGCCTCCAGATATGGAGGACAGCTGCGAATATATTAAATAAGACAAAGGGTAGTCCTCCAGCTTTGAGGTTGCGAGTGGGGTTAACAACTCCTCACCGTAAAAATATAAGCTTGTTATGAAATGTCACAAAGGGCCTCCAAAATGTTCTAAGTTACTTGTTAGGTGTTATGTGCAATTAATTAAGAAATTACGCAGAATTTTCAGTAAGCAATTCTATAAATTTTTTTCACAAAGATTCACTGCCATTTTTAGAAAGCAGGCAAGTCTTGGTACATACTTCGGGAATGGAAGGTGTCTTGTCACTCTGCAGGTCTGGGTTCAACCACAGAGCAGATCTGTGGTGTGTAAGTGGCACTCGTACAAGTTCTTAGGCACATCTGTAACTCTGTGGATCATTTATTAAATTTGCTCATACATCCATCTGTCCATATATACATATGGAACAACTCAGCAACCTCTGAGCAGATTTTCATTAAATTTAATACTGGAGAACTTCATGAAAAATTACCATGTCACATCAATTTGCATTTTGATAGACCATGTTTCATGATGACTCCACATAAAGGCTTACATGCATTTCCACACAATATCACTACACATTTATCAGAAGGAAAAATGTTTTCAACAAAAGTTGTAAAGAAAAATACATTACTTTACGTCCATTACATTATCACCTTAAGTCTTACGGTATTCAAGATAATTAAACAAAAGGGATGTTATAAGTATATTTTGAGATGGGCAGGACATGTAGCACAAATGGGGGAGAAGAGGGATGCATATAGGATATTGGCGGGAAAGCCAGAATGAAAGAGACCACTGGGATGACCAAGACATAGGTGGGTGGACAATATTAAAATGTCTCTTAGAGAGACGGATGAGATGGTATGGATTGGATTGATTTGCTTCAGGATAGGGATCAGTGGAGGGCTCCTGTGAAGATGGTAATGAACCTTCGGGTTTCATAAAATGCTGGGAAGTTCTTGAATAGCTGCACAATTAGTGGCTTCTCAAGAAGGGCTCAGCTCCATGAGCGATGAATACATTTTTGCACTTCCATATTCAACTGACCATGGCCTCCAGAACACTAACCCAGTCAAGAGAAAGAAATAAAGCATTCACAGAGTTCAAACTGCGCTAAAATCAGATCTGTTTTTTCTTTTAATATAGTACTATAACACAGTATGACTTTGAAGCAAATATCGAACCATTTAAAAGGTAAAAAAAAAAGGTGTCCCTGTTTTCAGTTAATTAAACATTATGCCATTAAGACAGGTGGGAGTGCAGGTATAGCTCCACCATTCTTGACATCAGCACTGGATGGAGATGAGGTCAGCTTTGTGCCCTCACTGCTTTAACCACAGGGAAATCACCCACTGGATAGGAAGCTGAGTGGGCCCCAGAGCCAATTTAGATGGTAAGCAGAAAAGGAAATATTGGCCATCCAGCCCACAGCCCATCACTATATTGACTGAGCCATCCAGACTCCGCATTGAACACTTTGTGTTTATTTAACTTCCATTTACAGCGTGTAATAACAGTGAACACTGGAAACTTAATACAAATTGTTTATTCATTCAGCAAACCTACACAGTTGTGACTTCTTGCAAATATGAGTATTATAACCTAGCAGCTTACAGTTGCATATGAATTTCATGTTTGTTCATTATAAGGGAAAAACACATCATAATTTATTTAATTTACAATTCCATGTGTTGAATTCACTTGTTACAGTTTTCCTCCCCTTGCCATAAATGCTCCACATCCTATTCCTAAGGTAGAAGCAACCAGCACAATAGCACAATGCTGATCTTCCAACAAAGCCTATCTCTGACTCTGCCTTCTGCTGCCCTCAGAGGAAAGATTTGCAATTTTAGTGCCTTTGCAGACACACACAAGAAGAAAATGGGCATGACATATGTCAAGACACTACTCTACTATCAGTCAGGAAGGGCTGCAGAAAACTGTGAAAACCCTCAACCAGGATAGTGTACTGCCAACCTGCTGTGAGAGGCCCATGGAGATGATTCTAATTCTGAATTTCTGGGTCAGCATTTCCCAAAAGTAATCAACACCTAATGACCTAGTACCTATAAATGGATAAGAAAAAGCTATACTAAATTATAAACATATAATTTAATACAAAAAATACTTCAGAGATATAAAGGGTTCATTGATAATTATATTTGAAAATTGCTAAACAATGTTCTTTGGAATTTTTAAAGACTGGGATCCTTAACATTACCTTCACATCAATGGAGCCCCAGACTAAAAAGAGTCTGGAAAACAATGATCTGAGTTATGACAGTGTGAAACTTGGTGGGCAGTTATCATTGCTTCAAAAAAAAAAATACTGCTTCCATTCCTACCCAGAACATGAACACAGTATAAGTAGATACTATTGGGTTCTGACAATGGTGTATAACACAGAGATACTGGTTTTTCGGACTCTGTCCATCGTCCGGATTCTAAATAACTAAGAAAAATAAAAAACACAACATTTCGGAAACAGATCCAGTTTCTGAAACGTGTTTTATTTTCTTAGCTATTTAGAATCCGAACGATGGACAAAGTCCGAAAACCCAGTATCTCTGTATGAACATAGTATATTCCTCTGAAATGCTGATACCCACTAACCATGCTTCAGTGATCTTTACAACAACACTTTTTTTTTGTGAGGTATGACCTGTGTGTGGTGGGGCCTAAAGATGCATCACCTTCAAAGACCATGTATGCCTACCTGGATCCAGCTAAAAATCCAGAGTACTACAATAATAGTAATAATAACAATCATACAGTTCACACAACAGCAACTTGGGGCATCACACCTCACAGCCAACCTCTATGAAACATGCAGCCCCTAACCACAGGGCAGTTACCCACTCCAAAGACAGATACAGCAGGCATATTTACAAGAAATTCAGGACTGAAAGGGTTGCACAGTAAATGTACACTGTGGTATGCTAGTATAACAATTATATAACAACACTACAATATGACAGTGACTTAAATCATAAGAGCATCAAAAGCTCTGAAATGTTTCAAATTTTTAAGTAGGTATGGGGATGAAACAAACATTAAGTGTAGCTTAATTAAAGAGTTTTCTTGAAAGTCGAACATAATGCTTCAGATAAAGTTAAAACAAAATCAGGTTAGTCCAAATTAAGATCAGTAATGTCACTGCCATAAATTTCTTTTTCTGTACAAAACACAACAAACATACCTTTCTCAGATATGGAAGAGCAAGAAAGATGGGATCAATTGGTGTTGATAGGTGCATCTTTCCATCTGATTTGACTGACTCTTCGATGAACCATGATCTGATAAGAAATGTTAAACATTAGTTGACTAAATCATACACCTAATGGGCTATCTCACACTTACTTAGTGAACCATATTGGAAAAGTCTCATGAAATGCTCACCTTCTGTTTTCTGAAAATGTGAGAACTTCTTGAACCATTCCATCTCCTGGACTAAATAAGAATAAAGCTGTTGCTCCTGATTGTGGATGCCTCAACTGCACAATGTCTGGAGTACCTGTGCCAGCAAACCCTTCAGGAACTTCCAAAGCTTCACCTAAATAACAGTGGAATGTATCAACACAAAATGTTCAAGCATGTTAAGCCATGCTCCAAATTGGCCTCAGGGCTATTTCACCAAACAAAGGTTTACTATTCCATTAACTATTAAACAAATCCATATATTTCGTTGCAGCTTTATTCAACAAAATCCGGGGCAAGAATATGTACATACTTGAAAATTAAACAGCACTCACCCACCATTAATGATAAAAATATATTTAAAACAAAATCTTTGACATTGACAATGAACCTTTCCCAAATAGACGCTCCTACTGAGCCTGCTACATCGAGTACTATTAACTCACCTTTCAGTAGAAATACCCATGTGTTTGAGGACTGCTGAGGATTTGACGTTTTCACACATTTCTTTGGGGATGCTTTAATCCTCGGCATAATGAAAACAAAGCATAAAATGCGAATATTTGAGACTAAAGTCTTAGCCGACAGCCATCAGCTCAAACCTCGAATATGAGCTGCAGCCCGGGTACAAAACTACCAACATAGTACAGAAAACACTAACTTAAGTTCGTACACATGTGGTGTAATTAGCTCAGTCGGTATAGCAACTAGGCGACAAGCTGGAAGCGCAAAAGGTGTATGTTTGATTCCCGATGTAAATTTTTTTTTTATTTGTACTCCATAACATCCAGACCTGCTCTGGGGCCCACCCAACCTCCTACATAATGGTTACTGTGGGTTGTTTCCCAGGTGCTACAGCAACAAGGATTTGAAACTGACCACTCACCACCATCTAGTGTCGAAGCTAAAAATTGTTGAGCTATAACTTCACTTCATCAGACGTCTTCATGGTTTGGTGCTTAATTAATTAAGCACAGGGACAAATAACTCTTTTATTTTCTTCTGGAATGTGACTCCGTGTAATCCGGTGGAAGCTCACCGACGTTTCGAAGGAACATTCTGCCTCCTTGTAGATTCTAAAGGGTTCTGACGATGGTGTGCGTATAAGACATAGAATTACTGGGCTCTTGGACTTCGTCCATCGCGGTCCATCGTCCGGTATTATAAAATACACTGAACGCAACGTACCGGGAAGTGGATATATTTCCCCCTCAGGTGAGGGGTGAGACACCTACCCTGCTGGGTCCGCTAGAAAGAGCAGGTCCCGTAACTGAGATTATCTCTTTCTAACGGACCCAACAGGGTATATGTGACCCTCCCCCTTACCTGAGAACGGAAACAGGACCAGTTTTTGGTATGTTGTGTTCCCTAGCGGTTTTTAGAATGCCTGACAATGGGCAAAGTTAAAAAAACAGCAATTCTGAATATTACCACCATCTTCTGGAGGAGGGGGCACGCGGTAGCGTAGTTGGTTGAGGCACTATGCTACAAGCCGGAAGGTCGCGGGTTCATGTCCCGATGAGGTCATTGGATTTTTTCCAATGGACCTAATTCTTCTGCCTGCACTATGGCCCTTGGGTCGACTCAGACTCTTTAACAGAAATGAGTACAGTATAGCTGCCAGCGGTTGTTTTCATATACATGCCATGCACGCCAAACCCGTACTTTCTTCTCGCAGTGCTAGTTCAGATCAATAACAAAGGCCATAGATGGCAGGACAGCATTCAGTAATCTTGTTCTGCCATCTAGCAACAATATCGCCAAATATTATCAAATTTTCCTAGGAAAGTTCCGAAGTTGCTTTTTTGGTTCCCATAGGGCCAACAAACATGACACTTCTATTTCTTTCAATGGTAGTTGACAATTTTTTAAATACTGATATGAATAGATACTTACACAACTTCCACAACATATTATTTCACCTCAAGCAATGATTCTTGTCCTAAAAGAGCTAAAAAGACATGGAACTACATAGAATACCATATTCTCCATAAACCTTACTTAATTTTCATTCCACCAAATTCTCAGTCATCATAATCACCCAGGGCAGGCACAACAGCCAATCAGTGGCCGATGTGCCAAGTGGACCCAGCTTGACTCCACCAACCACTATGCGAATAGATAATTAGGTCTGGTGCATGCTTTCTGTTTCAGGGTTGAAATGCATAGGATTAAGAATTGCTTGGATTATATAAATAGTTGCAAGGAAGGAAGTCACTCAGACCCAAGGAAAAGGGACACATTCAGCCGTCTAGATCAACAGGAACAGAAACATAAGTATATGTTCATTTATTATAAAGTAGAATAGCTACCATCACACATCGTGTTACAAATAAATAACAGTTTGAGCACTTTTATTACATAATGCATTTTATAATACTTAAATATATTTAAATTCGTCACATCTGGAATAAGTCACATATCTCAACTACAGGAAGCATGATGTTTACCCAGGCAATTCAAATGCCTCATTTTCTCCTTTACTTGTCACAATAAAATTTATTCTTCTGATCACAGAGATGATCATCACCTTCAACCGGTTCAATCAGAAATTCTTCATTGCCTATACTATGTAACCCAATTACAGTATACACCTCTGGAATCAGCAGTACCTCAGTGACAATTCTTTTTTGGAAACCAGCCTAAAAATTAACTTTACTTTTACCTGCCACTCATTGCATTATTATAACATTGCATATGCATGATCCAGCTGGATAATGACATCATTTTTTTTTTCAGTATTCCTATCATTACCTCCAAATTAAAATATGGCAACCAAACCTGTAAAACTGCGAGATTTAAAATTGCCATGCCCAGCAGACAAAACATCACTACCAAGTTACATACTGGTGCCAACTCTGTAATAATGAGAGACCTTTTAAGTCCTTATTCCCAGATGATAAAAGTTAATCATGAATTCATTGCAAGTTTAAGCAGTGACTAGAAATAACTTGGCCAAGAGATACCTGAAATGTTCATAACATATGTAATAAGAACTTCACACATTAGCCAGAGAGCCCACTTTCATTTGTATACTCATTATTTGTATTTGATGAGAACAAGTAGCCAGAAAGGCAGGGTGTAACACCTGAAACATGTGAATATGAGTGTGAAGCAGTGTATTGGTTTCCCACCACTGCAGCAGACACACCAAGTTTTGGGCTTTCTTCCAGGGGACATAGGGAATCAATCATCTTGTCTATTCTTGTGGCAGATTTTGACTCATCAAATGTTACCTCACATCCTGCTCTGTTTTGGTCCAAGAAATAAGGTCTGATTGCATTCTTTTTGCTGTAATCTGTAGGAAATGACAGAGTACAGGAAATGGAAGTTGCACTGGTATCTGCTTCTTTACTGTTATGAATATTTTGCTTTTTATTTGAAGAACTGTTGTAATAAGTTGCAGGAAGTTGCGCTTTATCAGCTGCTAATGTGGCTCTAGAGTTCCCTTGGTGGCGGCATTTGATATGCTTATTATAGTTCGCCCAGTTCGTGAAATCCCTCTTGCAATCACTGCAATTGTAAGGACGTTCCCCTGTATGTTGTCGTCTGTGTATCTGCAACAGTTACACAAAAATAATTTAATTGGCACTATATATAATACAAGGGTTATTGGGAAAGTAACATCCATTTATTTTAGTCAACTAATGCAGGAGCAGGCGAGAGCTCATGCATACAAGATAGTGTCACATGACTCACTGCATTGTAAACCATCACAGAGCTGGCCACATAGAGTTTGTTCTTGTCTCTATATAGAGCATTATGATGTGTCCTACAACTGAAAATCTGCCAGTTGCAAAATTCATGGCTAACCACTTTCTTAATGCTAAACACATGAGTACTCCAGAAATCCACTGTGAATTATGCATGGTTTGCGACCAATGTGTAATGAATGATGGAACTATAAGACAATGGTGTAGAATGTTCAAAGATGGCTGAACAGAAGTTCATGATGAATAGTGAAGTGGTCAGCCAGCCATCTGTAGTGAGTGATGAACTTTTTCAAAATGCTGACCAAAACATTAATGAAAGATGGTGCTTTACAATTTCAGAAGTTTCATGCAAATTTCCACACATTTCACGCATTGTTCTCTATGAGATTATCACAGACTAGCCTATCACAAGTTTTGCACAAGATGAGTTCTGAAAATGCTCATGGGTGAGCAGAAAGCACAAAGATGTAAAATTTGTCATATACTGGTTTACTGCCTTACTAAATTATTTATACGGATAACATACTGTTCACTGTAAATGTTGTAAGCATAATGCATTGACACTTATTATTATTGTAGCATTCTTGTTCCTAAAGGTAAAACATGCATTACAACTGCATTGCTGGAATCTGCCTTTAAAGCAGAATACACAGCTCATGGTCAATACCTGCCACAATGTACAGAGTTACTTTCTGGATAACACCCGGTTCCCTCCAAAAGGAGAGCTATGGAGGTATGGCTCAGTTATGGACAGCAGTTTTACAATCAGCGACTTCATTTCTGAACCAGGGATACTATGTAACTGTGGAAAACTGGGCTTTGGAACATGTTCCGCATGATAAGCTTTGCAGTAAACATAATGATACTACGGGAACCTTGCGTCAAAACAGGAAGGGTGCTCCTTCTGAAATAAAGGTCAAATTAAAAAAAAAAAGCATTAAATGTGATGTCTACACACAAACTATTGATAATGAAATGGGAAGACAATAATTACCAAAAAAACTGATATGATCAAGGCTGGAAATAAAATTCAAGGTCAAGATTTTGAACAACCCCAACGTCATTGATTATAATGTCACAGATGGGAGAAGCAGACGTAATACCATTGAAAGATTTTTGCTGTTTGTCTTGCATCGGTCAAAATCAATATTCAGGCAGACATGCCCCCACAAAATGTTTACCATATGAACTTGGTGTAAATATCATATGAAAGTTGATACTCACTACATAGACACCCTGGAAGCGAAAGTGACGTCCACAGAATTCACACTGATATGGCATAGCCCCAGTATGGATGCGTGTATGCAGTTTTAGCGTGCTGCTCTCCCGGAACTGTTTTCCACATACATCACACTGGTGTACCTTCACGTTCGAGTGTGTTGCCACATGCTTGTTCAGCAGGTAAACTGTCTTGCACCTGAAAACGTTCACAGGTCACTTATTACCCAACTGCAGACAGGTCTAACAGAGATGCAGATACAGATATAAGAAGTTGTGGTCAAAACCAATAAATTTTGTTCCGGCCACATTACATTTCATTTCATCCTGGCCTTTCTTGTGGCCTTTATCTTTCCTGGGACAGATGACAGACATTTCAGGTCAGCTACAATTAGCTGTCACATCAGTTCAAATTCACAATACAACAATCCACAATTCAAACCAACCCAACTTCTGACACCAACAGTAATGGGGCAGTGACTACACAAAGGATATGGATTGACAGTGGCATTTTGTGGACACTTACTGCTCTCAGCTGCAGATATTACAATGCTTCTGTCATTCTTCACAAACTTAAAACAACAACAGTACTTTCCAATGCTTTTCAGTCTGCTATATCTTCATGTACTTACAGAGCAGTAACAGCCTTCAATTACAGGGCTCTCAACAGTATAACCATGTTCAACAGCTCCTGTTTGGTCTAGTCTGGTAGTCTCCTGCTGGCCTCCAATTCTTGGTTTTGGCATCAGTGGGACCCATGGCCATATTTTTCTATCTCGCAATGCCACTCCTGATTAAGTCTGGTCTGGCAATTTGCTGCTGGCCTGTTCCAGCAGTCAGTACTGATTTCCGGCCCACCAGGACCAATGACCATATTTTTCTGTTTCATGACTCTAACTCAGTTATGATTCGTGGTCAGCCTGTCTGGTTCCTGTTTCAGTTCTGGGTAATTGGCATCTGGCCTTCCAGCACAGTCATTCTTGGTTACCGATCCTCCAGGACTTATGACTACATTCTTCTTTCTCATGACTCTCGGAGTCATGCAGCTACTTTATCGCCAGTACAGTCAGTTGGTTAGTCAGGTAAACTGCTCCTGGCCCTTGCCAGCATAGTCATTCTTGGTTCCGGGTCCAACAGAACTCATGACCATATTTTTCTGTCTCACACGTCATGCAAGTCCTAGCACGGTCAGTCAAGTAAACTGCTGCTGGTCCTTGCCAGCACATTCATTCTTTGCTCCAAGCCCCAAGGGACTCACGACAATAATTTACTATTTCACAACCCTGGGAGTTGTGCACATTGTCCCCGCACAGTCATATACTGAATCACTTTATACAGCTGTGTGTCAGACTGAATAGAAAACACCAAGTTCAACAGTTCCTCTACCATTGTGCACATATTCATTGCCATGGAAACATGTTTTGACAAGCTGCTGTGCAGCAATGCATGCCTCCATAGCACTTGCACGCACGCACGCACACACACACACACCAATTCCATAAGATCATGTTGACAGCTCTAATCTGAAACTGAAAGGATATGAACGCTTTGTCTATGTATGTTATATGATGGCAATATATCTATAAAACTGCTGGAATTCACGCCTATACAAAGAGCAAGAGGCAGGTCTAAGTAAACTCTAGCTATATACACCTCCTGTTAATTTCAAGTGTATACAGTAAAACTGTCCCTGTGTTTAATCAATTTAAGCATCGTGCCATGAAGATGTCTGGGGAGTGAAGATACAATGAAACCACTCCTAACCAGCATTTCGCTAACTCGCTATGCACTCACACGTTAAGCACTGCTAACTCACTACTCACTTGTCTTCTCAACTCACTACTGACTCATCTGCTCAGCAGTGCACTAACTCACTACTCACTTGTCTGCTCTGTGCTGCACCAAGCTGTAGTTGGCATCTACTCATACTTTTATATGTGTACCACTCTTTGGGAAGATTCTAACAAGTTCTCACACACAACCTTAAGCTTTGGCTTCAGCTGAGTGGCTAGCCAACAAAGCACACATTACGAGAGGCATGATCAGGCCAGATGGGATCTCCCGCCCCTCCCACAACAATAAGCTTCATGAAATTTCATTCCTTTATATTCTACATGACAGTTTAAAACTTACATTCTTTACTCTGTGACCATCCAAGTGCTGGATCAAAGATGAGGCCCCAAACTTCTAAAATCTACCACCACATGACACACAGTTGGTGAAAAGTTGATGCAAAAGGTGATCTACTTTCAAGTTATTTTATCACTATGCTACTGTTTAATGAAGAGGGGGATTGCCATGCAGCACCATTGCATAAACAACATGGAAATTCCTTACCTCTTGCCACAGAATTGACAACAGTGAGGACGCTCGCCTGAGTGTGACATCATGTGATATGTTAATCCTTGTTTAACTGCAAAGCTTTTCCCACATACTTCACAGGTGTAGTCACGTACACCAGAATGAGACTTTCTATGGACCTCCAGTGACTGACGTGACAACAATCTGTTAACAGGCATTACAGCAGCAGGAATCATGAACATGAAGTATGTATGAAAATACTGTCAGTTGGGCCAAAACCATGCCTACAGACTCATGCTCAAACATACGATTTTGATGTCTTAAGGCTTCATCCCCCTTTGTGATTTCACATACACTTCTCTATAGCAACAAGCAGTAAAAAGGTAAAACTATGCCTGTAACAGACTCTCGAAGGCATGGGGTTGAGACGTTGAAGCTCCCACATTTTCTAGACAATCGGCTCACAGATGGTGGTGAGCCCGTCACTCTTTGCTCCCAGGATAATTCCTGGTATTTATTTCTGTTAGAGAATGAGTTGACCCCAGGGCAATTCTGCGCCTGGAAGGATTAAGTTAACTGAAAAATCCCCTGACCTTCTGGCTTGTAGCATAGTGGCTCAGACAACTATGCTACTGCAAGACTCCAGCAACAAGCAGTTGCAGTTAATGTTTTCATTTGTATAGTCACAAAATGGATCTTAACTAAAACACAAATCAATATAATAACGGCAAAGTTGTCGCTGTATTTCATTAATTAGCACCATGCCATGAAAACTTATGGGAGAGTGTAGATACAGCACCACATTTTTTTAACCTCAACACTAGATGGAGGCGAGTAGTTAGCTTCACTCCCCTTCTTCCTTACCCCGGGAAAACAGCCTCCAGCATTTGTTGGATAGGAGGCTGGGTGGGACACAGTAAGTATAAATGCTGTGGAGAAGACAAAACCTTTGCACCTGTCAGGAACTGAACCTTGGTTCATCAGGTGTCCAGCCCATAGACTAGTCACTATATCAACTGGGCTATCCCAGATCCCAGATTAAAATTGTAAGCACAGTCTAATTTAGTAAATGTTATTAGTTTCTTTAGATTGAAATAATAATGTTCTAAATTATGCTCCTCTTACAGATTTCATTGTTGTTGTATAACATTATGCACAATTTTCACCTGATGTTGGCCACATGGCCAATTCACTTTGTGTAATTGGTGCGTTCCCCCCCACCCCTCTCTTTTTCTACATATATAAAGGTAAAAAATAAGGTAAAGTTTTCCCTGTGCTCAACTAATTAAGCACTATGACGTGAAGACACACAGAGGAGTGGATGTATAGATGTACGTCTTCTTGACCTTGGCACTAGCTGGAGGTGAGTAGTCAGCTTCATGCCTTGACTGCTTTACCTCTGGGGAAAGAGCCCCTGATACTCACTGGATGGTGTGGAGAAGAGAAAATTCTTGACCCTATAGGGACTCAAAACGCCGAACTTTCAGACATCCAGCCTGTAGCCCACCACTATATTGACTCCCATACACCGGCTCCCACCCCCTTCCACTTCTCTCTCTCTCTCTCTCTCTCTCTATATATATATATATAGAAAGATACAGGGTGATTCATGAAGTTTTACCCCGGCTTATGGTACATATTCCTGGGGTTATTTCCTGCAAAATTTCCTTATAAACTTGTGGTTGATTTTCAATAGTTACGGAGTAACAATAGATTTTCGAAAGGCATCATTGTGAATGCAGTGCTATGCTTCCCGCCTGGGTGACCATGCATTCCAGTCAGCTGTGTCAGCATATAAGGCAGACCGGCTGGAATGTTGCATGTAGGTAGGCAGAGCGATCCAGTGGTAAACAGAACGTTGTGTTGGTGACTATGCGAAGTTAAGATGCCGTACACATTTTCCACTGAGGAATACACCGATATGGTGTTTGTTTTGGGTGTATGTGATGGAAATGCGAGAGCAGCTGCTGCCGAATATGACCGGCGTTATCCTAATTGCAGGATTCCGAATCCTAAATCCATTAGCAGTACATTCAACACATTAAGACAAACTGGTTCTCTCCCCAGCGTTCATATACAATACAAATGAAATCAACATGAATTGTGCGAAGAAGGAAATATTCTTGATGCTGTAGAGCGCAGTCCACGTGCCAGTACAAGACATCTAGTTTGGTGGTTCAGTGTTTCTCAGTTCATGGCGTGGAGGGCTCTTCATGAGAACGGGCTGCATCCTTATCATTTACAGCAAGTACAACACCTACAGGTACAACCAGGAGACCGTGCTCTTCATCTACAGTTCTGCAACTGGTTAAATGGAAATCGGCAGTTGTACTGCTTGATAATGTTCTGTGATGAGGCACAGTTTACATGGGACAGGGTCAACAACAGTCACAACTTACATGTTTGGGCAGACAATAATCCCCGTGCCACGATAGAATCAAATTTTCAACACCGATTCAGTGTCAATGTCTGGCTGCTTAACTGGTGAATTTACCTCCTCTTCTTAGAAGAAGAATTACCACAGTTACTTGAAGATGTTCCTCTGGCAACAAGACACCTGATGTACTTTTCAGCATGATGGGGCACCTCCTCACTTCTCCCATGCAGTAGCAGCTCACTTGGATTGGCATTTCCCACAGCAGTGGATTGGTTGTGGAGGCCATAACGCCTGGCCTCCCAGGTCGCCAGATCTAATGCCGTTAGATTATTGCATTTGGGGCTGGAAGAAGGACATTGTGAGCCAGGCAAAGGTACAAACACGCGAATGCTTGAATGTATTCTGGATGCAGCGATGACAATAAGGAACAAACATGTGGAACTGTGAAATGCTACGAGCGCGGTTCATACGTGTGCGACGTGTTGTGTTGACATGCATGGAGACATTTTTGAAAATCTTATGTAAATCCAGTCGTCTTCTAAAGCACTACAGTTTAAAGGAAACAGATTAATAGAAGGGTGTGATATGCATCCATTGGTATGTTTACAGAATGGGATGCTGAAAATAATGTAATTTTGTAACATAAAATCGATGAAAAATGTTGCACAATGCAAAATTAAGAAATTGGAAAAAAAAAATGGTTTTAGAATGCTTCTTTCCTAAAATATTAACTATTTAAAAAGTGTTTGTATTGTATTTCTGATTTGTTTTGACTGAAATTCGAAGAAAAAAAGATTTTTCGCCAGTTTTCAAATTACTGTATCTCTTTAATTATGAGTTGGATACCATTAGTATATTAAAATTTTTGTTCCAAATTACCTCAGGAATGTCCTCCCTAAGTGGGGGTAAAACTTCATGAATCACCCTGTATATATATGTGCTAAAGTTATTCCTGTGCTTAATTATGTAATTAAGCATTATGCCATGAAGGTATATGGGGGAGTGGAGGTATAGCTCCACCATTCTTGACCTCAGTGCCAAATGGAGGCAAGTTTCACATCCCTGCTGCTTTACACCCAAAAATACAGCCCCCCACACACATCAGGCAGGATGCTGGGAAATACACAGGCACACACACACAGAAGTTTTGTGTGAGACTTATCATAGCCATTTCACAATATCAATACACAACAGCACCACTGTCAAGCATTAACATGATGCATCAATGTAAGATTTTGTTTCAGTGCATCACGTCTATTTGTAGTACTAATAATATTTAAACATGAAAATATGAAGTGTACTATATTATATAAAAAATGTTGTTCATGATTCACTATTTTGTGTTCATTATTCATGGTAAATGGTGTTAAATGTTAGCCTTGGCACATCATCCAATAACATGCATAACTGGAAATGAATATGGGAGAAAGCAGAGAAAGTTAATAGCATCAAAATTTACATATATCATAACATGGACTTCCCATGGAATTCTCAAAAGCTTTTAAATGAGTTTTTTTAGAAACAAAGTTTTTGTGCCAGCATACAGCTATCATTTACAAGACCTGAGGTTTTCAGAGTTCCTTTAATAAATTCAGTTGTAATGAGGGCTTCATATCTTAAATACAAATTTTTGTGTCACCTTTCATATCAGCCTCTGATTATAGGGGCAAAGACAAATTCCCAAAACACTGGAAATTTACTCCATATTGACATGGCTGATCAGCGAGAAAACTGCATCAAAATGTCCCTCTACTGTCAGCTTAAAAAAATCAGGGATTTTAATTTAAAAAACATATGCTAGCCTGACATATGACAACCGCGTGCCACGAGGACTGACGAGAGAAAATTAATTCCTGCTGAAATGTGATTCAGGAGACTGAGAGTGTGTCATGGCATTTTGAACCATAAAAGAAGGAGAAAAATACTGACAGAATTAAAAATTTCATACACCACTACCGAAGTGGGAACAAATTGAAAATGAAGTTTTGGCAGAACTCACAAAGTCTACTCTTCTACTGCACAAAAAAGTCTTACAAATCTGGGACTCACACTGTTATATTTAGGTGGCATAAGTTCAAAATCTTGCATTAAATCAAAATTTCAGTTACAGATTATCATACTGGTCTCCCAAGCATACTCTCTTTTTTCTTGTTGTTCCCGCTTAGAAGCATAGACATCCATGGAACACAGTTTCACTTCAATTTCTCAATCCTATGATAGTCTGTATGATTCCTTGGACAAGGGATCAGCCCACCACAAGGCTGCTACCTACACAGGGCAACAAACACAGAATAAATGCAGACAGACATCCATGCCTTGAGTGGGATTCGAACCCATGAGCCCAGTGTTCGAACAAGTGGAGATAGTTCATGCCTTAGACCATGCAGCCACTGTGAATGGCCCCCAAAGCATATTATGTCTAGAATATTTCTGAAGGTGGCTCATTATGTTATCATTATAAAGTTGCTACATTGTATTTTCAACAAAGACAGGAAACAAAACTGTCATAGTGGAGTTCCTGCTGAACACACAAAACTTCTTTCTTCAGGTTCACTACAAAGTTACGATACACCCTCAGAGATGGTTCTGACAAATAACAGTGTCACAGGGTCAAATACTACTTTAATCACAATTAGCTATTGTCTGAAACCACATGTGTTAAGCTTACTGCTGTTATTACTAGTCCCATGCCTGCTCCTACTGGTTGCAGTGGGCGGTGGGTAGCAGTGGCAACAGGTGGTGGTGGTGGTGGTGGGTGGTGGCAGCATCAATGGTGGTAGATATTAATTAAGAACAGATTCTGCAAACATTAAACTTGTTAGGTACAAAAGAAAACTACTGTAACAAAAGGTGATTTATTTCCGAGACATAGTACTGTACATAATTTGAGCAGCACTCGAGTTAGTGTTGTTCCCAACTCACAATTTCTGTGTCTGCTATGTTTGCATTACCGATTGCAAGAAATCAAAACGTTATGACATCTGCGCACCCTCAATTACATATAGTATATATAAAATTTTGTAAAATCAGTCTACTGGCTCAAAAGTTGAAAGGTGACAGGCAGCACAACCTCAAATGTCAACTGTTTTCCAAATGGAAGTACATTAAAACTGTGTGGAACAGAATTCCATTGCCATAACAATAACAACACAAAGAATTAGGATGCTTAGGACCACCTGTAAAGGATGGAATCTCTCTGTCTGTAATACATATAACAGGCTAAAGTATGTTTGATATTGGAAAGGACCACAAGGATGAAAATGAGGTACATTGATGATAATCGTTAGTACGTTCAGCACTTACAAAGGGACGACATTGTTACGCACAGTTTTCCACATTCGGAGCAAGGGAATCCATTTTGGTCCGCCTGATGAACTTGACGATGACTGTACAGGGAACCAATCTGACGAAATGTCTTCCCACATTCCAAACAAGTATGAGGTCGGATGTCAGAGTGAAGTACCATGTGATTCTCCAGTGTTTGCTTTGATGAGAATGACTTCCCACAGTCTTTGCACCTGATAACAAAAGTAACAATTATAAACACAAAAACCAAGTTAGCAAAGCCACCACACTGTAATTTTTAAGACTGAAAACTTCTTACCAAGCTGCTTAGTGGTTCTGGTTTAATGATTGACAGATTACACAGTGTTGAATGACATGATCATTACAGAATAATGAATTGGAAAGAATGGGAAAGAAAGTAGTAACGGCCTAAGTTGAGGTACTATCCTAATATTTGCCTGTAGGAAGTAAGGAATAAAAATAGTGTCCTACCTATTTGCTGGTAACAGTAGGACAAGGTCTTCACACAACTGACAGGCCATCCCATTACACTGTGTTTACAGAAAAAGGAAGACACAGAAAGAGCTTTACAAAATGAGGGATCAGAGATCTCACAGTGCTACAGAACAAAGCACTGAAAAAATATCTGGACCAAAGACACAAAAATGAGAGCCTCACAATAATGCTCTTCTGAAAGAATCCTTAGGATGATTAATCTAGGACATGTCATAAGTGAGAAACAAAAGGTGAACCCAATAACTCCATGAGCAGCTGATAGTTATTCATCTGGTCAATAAGTTCTCCACGTTTATTAAGAGGCCTACAGGTTTATCAACATGTTCACAGTCATCCACTGAATGCAGCAATGAGGTGGAATAATCTTGTTCATATGAAACATGGGTCAAAGGGCAACATCACATATGATACCATTATTTGCTTTTCCTTTGTAATGGAACTTTAACTTACAGAATAAGCTGTGAATTTGGCTTTATAAACTGTACAGTGGTTTACTGAATTCAATGATATTTCTTGCAGACATTTGAAATGACAAAGAATCCACTACAAATAGAAAGAGCAATACTGGATTATTTCCATACTTTTCTGTATAATTGTAGAGTTGTATGACTACAGCCTGAATAGATCGTCTGAGAGCTTTTGTTCACATAGAAACGTCAAGCAGCATAATTATTTTGGGAGATTTCTAACTGAGCAAATTATTTTCAACAAAAATGTCATTTTCATACCTTATTTTTCAACAGCATCCAACCTGTTACATGAACTTTTACCATTATTCTTAATTTACATGGCACTGAAAAAACAGAATACTGTATTTTCATCAAAACTTTTAGCACCATTTTCTCCACAACAAAGGCTTTATGAGCATTGTATATATACATATATTGTATACATGAACATCAGAGATACACTCAGAATTACTGGGGTTTCAGACTGTGTCCATCATCAGGTATTCTAAAAACTAGAAAACATAATGTTTTGGAAATTGGACCTGTTTCCATCCTGGACCAGTGATTGAGGTTAGCTCTTTTTAGACACCCAACAAAGCAGGTGTCTCTGCTCACCTGAGGATGGAAACAGATCTAGTTTCCAAAACATTGTGTTCTACTAGTTTTCTGAATACCAGACAGTGGACAAAGTCTGAAAACCCAGTAATTCTGAACACCATCATCATAACCCTTCAGAATTCAATCAGAGAGTCATATGATTTTCAGAAATTCAGGAAATATAAACAGATCTAGACTAGATAACTACAATTCATTACAAAATATATTTTCATAGGCAAATTGTATGTTCATATACATGAATAACATTTTTTACACAAGAACATCAAATCAATCAAATCAAATCAAATCAACTTAAGTTGTATTCACATCACTAATTTGCCATTAATAAGAAATTAGCAATGTAAATATTATAGAAAAGAACATAAAATTAAAATTGAGGTTAAATTACATGACACACCACAAACGTGTCATTACTGAGAAATTAGTTATGTGAACATTACACAAAATATTACAAAATTAAAGCCCAACCTAAGAAATATGAATGTGGCTCTCTACCTCTGTTTAATTTGAATCACTTTCTGTTACATGCAGTACTTTCATGAGTCTGAATTCCGAACATAAGGCTCTTTAAATAATGGCAGTACCTTGCACATCTGGTACAAAGGAGCTCTTTCAAGCAATGCTTTGTGAGTACTGCACAATGTTTCAATTTAATAAAATTCATGCTGGAGTACTGTAACTCAAAGCACCAAGTTGTATCAAGACTGAAGTAAGTGCACAACTAACTTTTCTGAGTTGAGGAAATAGCTTCCAGAATTCAATTGCAGACTGAGACTTCTGTACCATCTACACACTGTGATTCTCATGAATTTCAAGTAGCTATATTTCTGCAGCAAATGTTTCCATAGGCATCATTTTCAGAATCAAAAAACCATGAACTGATATACCAGAAGGGCTACATATGCTTCCTATTTTTCTTATCATCAAAATTGGTATTAACAGATTCAGAAACAGAAGTCTAATTGTCTCTAGCTTCTGACTTGCTTCAAGGAATAGAAATTGATGAAAAATATCCCCCTTCACCAAAAAAAAAAAAAAACCCGTGAGAGTTGATAAGAGTCTCCAATCATGATGACAAAACTAAGCAGCATTCATTACAATGGCGATCTGCTCCCTCAGTGTGGCTGAAAAAAGAAAAATACATGACAAATCTAAAGTAATGTTGTTTTCTTCAGCTGTGCATGTACTGTCCAAAATGAGTATGCTATACAAGGTCAGATATTTCATTCACATATGTTGAAACATCCCCATCATGCAGCGCTTCCCAGATGGTATCCAGAGGGTAGAAAATTTACCATGACATTGCACCTGCTCACTCAGACCAGCCTGTGCAGCGACTTCTAGCTAAAGACAGTGTTTCACAACTGAGACAGCCTCTTTACTAAACCTGATATGGCTTCGTTTTCAGACTATGTAGTCTGGATAATGGCAACATCATTAGATAGCAAACTTTAAAGAAATAATAAGGAGGCTACCTCTAACATTTGTCTGTTCTCTACAAGTATAACAAGAGAGAGAGAGAGAGGGAGGGGGAGAGAGGGAGGGAGAGAGAGAGAGACCAACAAACCATCTAATGATGCAAGAACAACTGAAGACAAAGCAAAGGAACAGCTTCCATCCTTGTGAAGTTAAAAGGAAAAGCTGTCCCCATGCTTAATTAATTAGGCACTATGCCATCAAAGCATATGGGGGAGTGGAGGCATAGCTTCACCATTCCTGACCTCAGCACTAGAAGGAGGTGAGTAGTCAGCTGAGACTGGGAGAAGAGCCCTCCCCCACCCCCACCCATTGAACAGGAAGCTGGGTGGGCCCCATGGCCAGTCTCAACCCTGTGGAGAAAAGAAAATTCTATTTCCTTTGCCAGGAATTGAACCCTGAACACCCGACCCATAGCCCACTGCTATACTGACTTCGCTACCCCAGTTCCTTCCATCCCTTTTTTTATTGCTAGTGGGGTGGGTCTAAGTACCTTGACTGTGGCCACTTCTGGCCTATTGTACCAGCCCCAGATGATAGGAGAGGGTGAATGGGAGCAATTAGTGGAATGAAGATTGGCAGGGGAAACCGAAGTACTCGGAGAAAACCTGCCCCAGTGCCACTTGACCAGACCCGGGATCGAACCCGGGCCGCGGCGGTGGGAAGCTGCATCCCTTAAGTAGAGTATCTTAGTTTCACATACTGAGCATCAAAATTATATGATCAGGCTTTGTAAATATTAATCTTGCAAAGGAAGACCCCGTTCCATGAAGCAAACCATACCTGTGCTTTCCACTGTTTCGATGCACTCTCACGTGTCGTGTAAACTTCTTATACACCACATACACCTTTGCACATTGAATGCATTGAAAGCGTACAGTTTGGTCATGAGCCAGACGATGATGCTCCTTCAACTCCTGCAGTGTTGCCAATACAGTAGGGCAGTCTGTACACTGCCATGTGTAACAACCCTCCAGACGCACACGCTGCTGTAAAGTCTCTCTGTGCCTACTGCCTCTGTCTGGTCCCTCTTTGGTGCCCGCAGAATCTGGAATCTGCATTTCATGTCCCTTGGTCTCCTTAAGTACTTTATCACATAACTTGTGCTTTACCACATCATGGCTTCTCCTTCCTCTTTCTGGTCTCAAAGCCTCCTCCCTCTCCTCTTGTTTCTCAAAGCATGGACATGGTGCAATGAATTCTATAAAATATTATTCAGAATGTAAAGAACACAACTTGCAAAATAACACAACAAATTAGATACCAATTATAATGCTGAATATTATCACCAGAATATGAAACCTGAAGAGTCAAGAAAAGAATAAACATTTACAACAGCAACATACAGATATAACACCAAATTTGAATATAATTCAAAGGCTATGTTTGATTTTTGGTTTATGTAAACATGCTTCTCAAGCCAGAAGGTCATGGGTTCAATTCCGAATGATGTTATTGGATTTTTCAAGTAACTTGATCATTCCAGCTGCATTATGGCCCTGTGGACGACTCAGTCCCTAACAGAAATGAGTGCCAGGAATCTTCCTATGGGTAAAGGGTGGGTAAAGGGCAGCCAGCACGTAAGGCTGATAACCTCACCACTTCTGTGAGCTGACTGTCTTGGAAATGTTGGAGCCTCAATGTCTCAAAAACCTTATTGAATTGAACTGAATTTATTTACATTCTATAAATCCTAAGCAGGTTAGTACCTTTGGATACAGAACAAGTCTGCATGGGCCTGCATGGCCTGTTACAAAGATAGCTTTGCTTTTTATAGGTTATATAACATCAAACAGAGTGTTGAATGTGAATTGGGGAGGATATGGAAAGGAGCAGTCATGAAAAGCATTATTCCAGCGATTGACTAATGGGACTGGGGCAAACTACAAGATATCTCCCATCAGAACAGTTACTCCCAGGACTAGCAAGAGTTTAACACTATCAACATGACTGTAATTGTTCAATTTACTTACTTACTTACTTACTCATGGAGCTGAGCCCTTCTTGAGAAGCCGCCAATTCTGCAGCTACTCAAGATAATCCCAGCATTTTATGGAACCCAAAGATTCATTACCATGTTCACAAGAGCCCCCTACTGGTCCCAACTTGAGCCAGATCAATCAAATCCATACCATCCCATTCTATCTAAGATCCATTCGAATATTGTCCACCCACCTATGCCTTAGTCTTCCCAATGGTCTCTTTCCTTCTGGCTGCATAATCTATATGCATTCCTCTTCTCTCCCATTCATGCTACATGCCCTGCTCTCCTCATCCTCCTTGGCTTGATCATTCTAATTATACTTGGACAAGAGTACAAGTTATGAAGCTATTGATGTATATATGGACGTATTTTTGAATAGCCTCATGTATAAACACTGTGTTTTCTTGGGTTTTCTTATGTGAAAACTTCAGTTGTACTGTAACACATGTTTTTGTATTTATATGATATATTCAACATCCTACAGTCAATTTGACTAACTTTGAATCCAGGGAATGTAACGTAATGATGCCAAATTTGGCAACCCTGAGATTATGACTGTCTGGGAGTGAAATGACCTTCCTACAGATTCAGAAGATAAAGATTTTTGAACAAGTTACTTTGGTGCTGAATGACCAGACAGATTTTGAGAAGCTTTGGAGATCCCGCAAATTCATTTTGATTACTGTTATCAGGAACATCCATAAATTTGATTATTATCTCCAGTCCTTCCAAAGTAAATTCTGAGAAAAAGAATCAGAGTAAATGGCAGCCAGCTATTAGAGTAATATGATCTAAGTGCAGTGCCAATCAACATTAAGTGGGCCAAAACTATATACATTTTGTGCATGGTAACATCTTCCCACTTCCTAATCCTAGAGGAAACTTTGAAAAGGCTAACACTTCTTGAAATTTCTTGCTTACTATATTTGTTGGTTTCAACTACGAGTTGCACAAGAGCCACAACAAATGTTTTCAAATGCACTCATTACATCCAGTTCAGCAGTGTTGAACTGGGGACCATACACATCGCAAAATGTCTCTCATGAAGCAGGAAATGAGTCTACATTTTGCCACAGGAACTTATTTGATACCCCTCTCAATGCAAAGTTCATGATTTCTCATTCATCACTTCCATTATATCACCTCGTTATCATTGATGACATGGATTCCTGGAGTCACTAATTGTGCATAAACACTGTCCAAAACAATATCATCATCCAAACTAAATTCACAAACATTTTTCACTATGTAGGATTTTAGGCTCTGCTTTCCACCTGCTTTCATGCTGGTATGCTGCCATGAGCATTCAATTACTTGAACACTTAAATAAAAATAATATCTTAGTGGATGAGCAGTTTGGTTTTAGAACTAACACCTCAACAGATTCAGCTATATATAAGCTAACAAACGAAATTCACAAGGCATTAAACAGTAAAAATTTAATAGGAGGTATTTTTTGTGACCTCGAAAAGGCTTTTGACTGTGTCAATCATGAGGTCCTGCTGTCGAAATTGGAATTCTATGGTATAAAAGGTAAAGCAAAGCTATGGTTTGAATCATACTTTAGTAACAGGTATCAAAGAGTCGTAATTACTGATACAAAGCTAAATCTAAATGATTCATCAACATGGGGTAAAATGAGACATGGAGTCCCACAAGGTTCGATTTTGGGCCCTTTGTTGTTCCTTCTCTATGTAAATGACTTACCCAAAATTATAAACGAGAAAACTGTGCCTATCCTGTTCGCTGACGATACTAGTGTATTAGTTACAAGTTTGAATTATAATGATCTCCATGTAAAAATAAATTCTGCTTTACACAGTATAAATGAATGGTTCAAAGTAAACCAACTCTCTATAAATTTTAACAAAACTCATTATATTCATTTCTCAGCCAGTAATAATAAACCAATAACCGAAACAAAAATTGCATACGAGGGAAAAGAAATTACAACTGTATCTAATATAAAATTTCTTGGAATACACATTGATGAGAAAATGAACTGGAAATGCCATATTGAACATATTACTTCAAAGACAAGTGCGGTTTGCTACATAATAAGATCAATAAAACCATTCACGTCCCTAAGTACCTTGAAAATGGTATATCACTCTTATTTTAATTCAATCATAAATTATGGGATACCCTTTTGGGGCAACTCACCCTTAAGCATAAAAATATTCAGGATGCAAAAGAATATAATTAGAATTATGTTGGGTTGTAGAAGGAGGGACTCGTGCAGGAAATTATTTAAAAAACTAGAAATATTGCCCTTGGCATCTCAGTATATACTTTCTCTTATGCTTTTTGTAGCAAAAAATAGAAGTGAATTCATAGTAAATTCAGAGATCCATAGGAAAAATACTAGGCAACAAAAAAACCTCCATCTACCCCTAGTAAATTTGAGGATGTATCAAAAGGGAATCTATTATTCAGGAACGAAGGTCTACAATAATCTTCCACAACACATTAAGGATGTATCAAGTGATATTAAGATGTTTGAAGTACTACTGAAACAATTTTTACTACTACACTCTTTTTATTCATTACAAGAATATTTCTGTTACAAATCCCCTTAAGGTATTTGAATAACTCTACTCTAAAAGGAGATAAATAGCCAGATTTGTATTTTTGTATTTATAATTATTTATATTGGGTATTTTGTAACTTTTATTTTATTTTATTGTATACAAGCATTGTAATATCTTATTTTATATTACTTATTTATATTGTAACTATTATGTATCTCTTATTGAATTTTATCATTAATATGTATGTGCTAATAATGTATGACAGGACTGTTTTCCACTTGTAATTTACTTGTAATGGATTGTATTAGAATGTTTATGATATTTGTACGACAAGTTGTATCTTGAGCCAAATTTGTAACCAAGACGATCTCCACATCCACATGAGTTTGTAACTCCTGATAGGATTTATGGAAGTGAAATAAAGAATGGTATGGTATGGTATGGTATCTTGCTCAGCTCACTGTTCGACCCTGAAGACAGAGGCAGTACGTTCCTCTGAAACATTGGTTGACTTTCAATGGACCACAAAGCATTTTATCCCGGAAGATAGTACTCTTCAACATTTTTCACTGTCTAAAACTTCATTCAAAACCTGTAATTGTTCAAGCCATGTGTGTGTGTGTCTACAGCTTGTTACTAGGCCAGACATGATCACTATGAGGTCATGTATTTGTATTCAGACTGGACCTGCTCAGCTGCAGGAAATAAAGGTTATTGGTATGTGAAGGGAAAGTTCATTCATTTATCAAATGCCAGTGTAAATCTCATCACACTCAAGACATGCATTCCTTATTTAAAGAGTAGACATTATGCTTACAGCCAAATATACAGTACACAATAAACTTCAAATACAGCTGTTAAATGTCTCCCACATCTATGTCAAACCACAATTATGGGTTATGATGAAGTGACCGTGTGTTTAATTACTTGCGTTTAGCAATAAATCTCTCACCTTCCACCACAAGACATCCTCATGAGGACAAACAATTTATTCACAGCAACAGATTTGCAGAAGCACAGCATTATGTTTGGGACCAGATGTCTGATGCTGTGATAAGGAGAGTATAACATGTCACCGTGTTAAATTTAATGAATTCATTACTTTGGCTTGGAAGGTAGTATGAATTTTCTGATTACTCTAGCGCCAGAATTAGTTCCAAAATTTATAAATAAAAAGTGCCTGTTCCTTCACGTTTTATACCTATTTATAAATGAAAATTTTACTCACCATGCTGGTTTGGATTTTCCAAAAGACTACATTCAGCAAAATCTCTGGTGTCTTGCGGACCCTGAGACTGTGAAAACTGACAACGAATAATGAAAATTACTCAACCTTCTGCATCTGTATATAGAAGTGGATGTCGTTTCAAAGAAAGTCATGTTTTGTTACTACATTAAAAACACCTACGTCATCAACACTTGATCCTTTCTGGATTCTAGCTGTCATCTGCAACACTGTTTGAGCTTTTAAACTCGTGTCAAAAAATTGGGATGTCTGGTTTAGTTTGGAGCAGCAGGCAATGCAAACCATTTTTGGCAGTGGATCTTCAGGGTAAACCTGGAAGATTTAAGTAAACATTTTTGTAATTCGGAATTTTATTTGCGAATATTCATCTGCGACTCTCTCCCTGCAAGTTAAAAACTTTATCCTACCCTAATCTGCAAACATCGTATTATTTTTGATGATAGGTTAAGTTCCAACCCTTCTTCTTGATATATGTCAATGCCTTTTTTCTTTTCTTTAGCACAGAGGCGACACACTTTCTTAACCATCCCAAATCTGTGTAAAAATAAAAACCTCAACTGAGCTATACACTACGATCTAAATACATCCTCGATTCATTCTTCAAACATATCAAACATCTTGGGGATCGTACATAACTTCCCACCTTCGACCACAACGCTTTGCAATCGGGATGATCATGCTCAGGGGGATGAAACGGGTAGAAGGGGAAACATGCAGAACTGCCATCTCTACCCATTCACCTGAACTAGATGGTCTGGAACTCACGAACAAGCTACACTTCTGCCATCTGCCATTTTCTTAAGCAAAGACGTTTTTCGATTAGTAACGCCTGGTTGTCATCGTCTACAGCCAATCCGGGGTACGTTGCGGGAAGCACATCCGAGATACACGAGAAACAGACGGGCGAGCGCACGCACGCACACACACATATTCAAAAGAGGGAGGGAAGAGATGTTATACTTAGCATGTGAACGGGATTCGTCTGGGTTCCATAAACGGGTGGGAAATTCCCTGACTGAGTAACTATTAACTTCTCAAGAAATATTCAGAACCTTGCACTTACTTACTCATGGAGCTGAGTCCTTCTTGAGGAGTCGCCAATACTGCAGCTACTCAAGAATTTCCCAACATTTTATGCAACTCGAAGGTTCATTACCGTGTTCACAAGAGCCCTCCACTGGTCCCTATCTCGAGCCAGATCAATCCAATCCATATCATCCCATCCTATCTCTATGATCCATTTTAATATTGTCCACCCACCTACGCCCTAGTCTTCCCAGTGGTCTCTTTCTTTCTATATCCTATATGCATTCCTCGTCTTCCCCATTTGTGCTATATGCCCTCCCTACCTCATCCTCCTTGACTTGATCATTCTAATTATACTTGGAGAAGAGTACAAGTTATGACGCTCCTCATTATGCAGTTCCTGCAACCTCCCGTCACTTCATCGCTCTCCGGTCCAAATATTCTCCTCAACACCCTGTTCTCAAACACCCTCAGTCTATGTTCCTCCCTTGATGTCAGATAGTGTTTTTTTTTAGTAGTAGCACTGGAGTGAGAGTGTACCTCGGCACTACTGCCTCAAACTGCCATGTTGCACAAGCTCCTGATGATGAATGATCCCGGAGCACTGGTGTAACGATAATTGGTAGAGGGAAAACAGAAATGTTTGGAGAAATTGTGCGCCATTGTCTTTTCATCTACCACATATCCTACGTGGACTATCATATAACAAATGTTGGCTTACTCTTCAACACTAAAGATGGAAGCAGCACGTTCCTCCGAAACATAAGTTGACTTTCGACGGACTACACGGCGTTGCATCCCAAAAGATAGAATTCTTCAGGATTTTTACTTGTTTTTGTTAACCCTCGACTTTGTTTGACATCATGCAGGACTTGAGGTTCTCACAG